CTATCATCATCACCACCACCAGTACCACCACCATCACCACCACCACCCCCATCATCACCATCACCACCATCTCTACCATTACCACCACTACCACCAGCACCAGCACCAGCACCAGCACCATCATCATCACCACCACCATTACCATCATCACCACCATCATCAGCACCATCACCACCACCATCACCACTACCAGCACCCCCATCACCACCACTATCAGCACCAGCACCAACACCATCACCATCACCACCACCATCACCACCCCCATCACCGTCACCACCAGCACTATCATATTAATCATCATCGTCAGCAGCAGCAGCAGCAGCAGCAGCAGCAGCAGCAGCAGGGGAACAGCAGTGCAGTGTATGAACTTGTTGCAGGTGGATTCTCCATTCAGTTACACTTGCCCATTGTTTAGACTTCATCTCCCAGCCCTAACACACTTTTCCTGAATTCTTTAGCACTTTTCCTTCCCAGTTCTTTTTAATCCCCTTTCTTCTATGTCCAGGGGTCTCGTTTAGTGCTTTTTTGCTGGCATAGACTCATTGCACATTATACTGGTTTCATGAGGGCATTTTGTACATCTATATAGCGTACTTTGACCCTATCCCCTTCCCTTTCTTACCTTTTCAACTTCGAACTCCATTTAATTCAACTACTGAACCTCACGAACCAGTCTTCAGATGGTAACCGTGTCTCTGCCCTGTTTTCCAATTCTTTGCCCCTCTGCTAAGCTTTTGAGATTTCAAATTAAGATCCTATAGATTTCTCCTGAATTTTTCAGTTTCTGTTATTGTTTTGAAAGCATTTATTTTCTGCTTATTATCTTTTAGTGTCGTGGTGCTTACACTCTTATCTCGGATGCTATTGCATCAACTCCCTCCTCATTTAATACGTTGTGCTAGCTTTGGCTTCCACTTTCCCTGTCACTCTTCCCAGGGGCCTGATGATTGGGCTGTTCATGCCTGTGGGTGGGCCACTTGCCTGCCCACTGGAATCTCTGTATGCGGGGAGAGGTTTCCCGCTACGGTGGAGGCATTTCTTTGGTGAGTGCCTCCACTGCCAATCTTTTCAGATATTCTTCCTGCCTTAGATTCTTCCAGAAAAGTCTCCTCCAGTTTCCTACTTGGAGTTACAGGTGTCCTGGGAGTGGATGTGGAGACAAAAGCTGGGTGGAGGGAATGGTTTTCAACACTAAGGAAGTCTTTGAGTGCAAGTGTTCCTCCGTCAGCCATACTCAATGTCCTCCAGTTCGAAGCTACTCCCTCTGGAACACAAACCTCCACCCTGCTAGCATTGGTTAAAACAGTGTCTTACAGTCACGGAATGACTGTCACAGAATTTACTTGTGTTCAGTCAAAAGCCTGGTCAGCTCTCCACTGCCTTCAGAGACTACTCAAATCCCTCAGCTCAGCACCCTGGGTCATCTGACCTGAATACAATTTTTTAGACCTTATCACACCACCACCACCACCCATACTCACAGCTACAACAATGTCCATTTCCCCCACATCCATGACCCTGTGTCTCAAGGACAGGAAACTAATCACAGAGAGGTATGAGAGGATGTTGGGACCAGACTACCTGGATGCCTCCACTCAGCTCCGTCAACCACTTTTCCAGCTGGTGATTTTGCAAAACAGTACCCACCATCACCTCTGGGAGGTGAAGAGCACTTTGCCTAGGAGCTGGCATCTAGGGAGTGCATACAAGCTCCAAGTTCTGATTCTCTACACATCTGTCTTCCCCAGGACATTCCCCAGCTCCTGGAGAGGAATCTCCTCTCGTTTGTGGTGTCTATGACGTGACAGTTGGGGGACACTGGGGGCAATGTAAAAAGGACTTGACAGATGGAAAGAGTGTAAAGTGACAAGTGCTATCCTAGGGAAGCGTCAAGTGCAGAGAACACAGGGCCAGCCAGAACTAATGGTCCAGAGCAATCGGCACAGCTGCCCAGACCGCTTCCCTAAAAGGCCCTTGCCAACAGAACAAAACAAAAACAACATGTAAGGGCAAGCAGCGGAGTGGGTAACCGTGGATAGGGGAGGCCGTTAATGGGCCTGGGACTCACAAGGCCTCACACAGCCTGCCTGAACTCTATGCCTTGCTGTGTGACCAGTGTATACCAAACTAATCAACCTAGCATGCTAGGTGTACTAGCAATTATGAGGCACCGAAGTAACTGTTACTAAAAATAGTGGCAATGTGGCTACTTGGCAGTTGAATACCTTCCCAGGGGCGGGCAAAAGGCTGTAGAAACAAAATGCCTTTTTGTTCTGCAGGGTCCCAAGAATGATCTACAATAGCCATGCTTTCGGTCTGAACGACTTTGTTAAATATACAGCAAGCAAAAGTAATAAATAAGTAAATAGTGAGTAGCAGATAGACAGCAAAACATCAATCAGACACTCAAAACATCCTGCAGAAACCACTGGAACTGCCCAACTGAGTGTGCCAACAAAAGGTAATGCCATCAAATCAGGGCCTATCAACATCCAGGAGAAATTGTCTGGGAAGCTGAGCATGGTTCACTTTCTGTTTTCACTCTTGGGTTATTTTGCCCTTCCTGACAAAGTTAGAGGGACCAGACCATCTTCAGACAAGAGACAAACACGCTTGGGTTTGGGGATGGAGAGGTGGCAAACTTCTCAGTGAGCTCATATACTCCCTGACAGTAAATACATTTACCCACTGAGCCATCTTCTAGCCCAATATATGTTATGAAAGTTAAACATTTCAGCGCAACAAGTACTTATATTGTGTGAGGTGTAAGGGCTCCAGGTGGATGTGTGTAGGTTATATGAAAGTAGCATGCTGCTTTATAATAAGGGAATATCCATGGATTTTGGCTTCATGGTCGGCGGTGGGGGGTGGGTGGGTGGGTGGGTGCAGCACAGGGTCCTAGAAGTCATGCCTTTGAATACCAAAAGATAAACACATATATAAATACATGAAGATGCGAATGTGTGTTGCTCCTGCCCCAATACTTTTCTTAAATAAACTGAGGCCTAGTATATTCTCTTCTGTTTTGGCTGGAGAAGTTTCATATCTACAACATGGATGCAATTCAACCTTTTCACAGGTGTGGAGTATTCCGGGTTAGCCTTGTTTTTTTTTTACAATGTATAATCTTGGGTACACATTCTTTGGTATGCTTTACTAATTATGAAAGAGCTACGCTTAGTGGGACTTGCCTGTAGCCCTAGCTCCTGCGGACACTGAGACAAGAGGGTTGCACACAGAAGTTTGAGAACAAATAGCAGAGATAAAAGGGAGCAGGGATAGAGATAAAACCCAGCAATACAATGTTTACCCAATAATTGCAAGGCCTCGAACTAAAACAAATACTTGAAATTCTTAAAAAGGCAAGTGGCATGGTGGCAGACACTGCCAGCACACATCCTGGCATGGTGGTAGATGCTGCCAGCACACATCCTTGCCAGTCATGGCTCACTGAACTTTTGGACATCTGCACTTCTACTTGACTACGATCTTACTGGTTTTAAAATGAGCATTTCTACCTGAGTAAGCATCCAATTGTTTTGATTACTACAGGTAATCCAATATTTGCATTGTGTGTGTGTGTGTGTGTGTGTGTGTGTGTGTGTGTGTGTGTGTGTGGTGCACGAGTATATAGGTGTGTGCACCCATGCACCTGCATGTGGAGGCCAGAGCAGGGTATCTGGCATCGTCCTCCAGCCCTCTGTGCTTTTCTGCCTTGAGATAGGGTTTCTTCCTAAACTGGAAACTGACTCCTTGGCCAGGCAAACCACCAACAAGGAGAAGTGTTCGATGTCAAGAATCAGGGCACTGCACATTAAAACTACAATGAGATAATGCTACTCCAACTGGAAAGCTACACTCAAAACAAAAGGCAAAAATAACCAAAGTAACAAACAGTGCACAGGATGCAGAAATGGAGATGGGATCCTGGGGAGGATGTGCAGGGGTAAAGTCATGGGACATAAACAATGTGAAGGTCCCCCAAACTGAGAAGGACAATACTCCAGCAACCCCATTTACTGAGTAAACACCCAAGAGAAAACTGGTAATATTTTGAGGAGCAAGACATACTAATTGCCACAATCTGACCATTGAATATTAGATACACATAGCAAACTATTACTAAAGCCCACAGATAAGTACAAATATGTCAATTAATTTTATTTTTGAGGCATGGCCTAACCCTCAGCTCAGCATGGCCTTGAATTCATCTGCTGCCTCCATCCTCTAAGTGCTGAGATTATAGGCATCTACAATCTTGTCCACTATTTTTTTTTTTTCTTTTTTTAAGAATCATGTTTACAGAGCAGGCAAAGTAGATGGAGCTGGGTATCTCTCATCAGGTGTTTCTGATGTGGGCAAGAGAGCACCCAACTCTAATGCCAGCACTGGGGAGGTCAAGGCAGAAGTATAGAAAGCTCAGGGCCACCCTGGGCTACATAGCAAGTTCAAGGCCAGCTTGGGATACACACAGAGACCCCGATTCACAAAGTTCTTCTCTTACACGTCACTAGATGTAAATATTCCAAAGAAATAAAACTGAACTGGGCTAGTGTCTCCCTCAAATTCATGTCCATCTGCAACCAGTGACTGTGGCCTTACTTGGAAGATAAGGTCTTTGCAGGTGTGAAGATGAGGTCATACAGGGTTCTGACAAAGTGGACAGACATGCACACAGGGACAAAATGCCACGTGAAGCAGTAGCTGGGGTGACACAGTTACAAGGCAAGGGACATTCAGTACTGTGGTGACCAACAGGAGCAGCAGGGGAGACATCCACCCTCCCTGATATCTTGGTTTAGGCTTCTGGCCTCCAGGGCTGAGAGGAGACATCTCACTTGTTTCAGGCTATGAAATATGCTGTCACCTGGCATGGCCACTTCTGTGTAGTCTGAACCAGCATGGACTCCAGTTGTGGCCCAGCTGCACCAGGTGACCTGTCAGAGAATGAACCTTTCTCAGGCTGCTCCAGAAAGCAAAGACTCAGAAAACCATTTTTGCAGCTTTGGTTTGTCTTTATTTATCTCAGACATGCAATTTATATCAGAGAAAACAAACCCTGAGGACAAATGCTGAGGTGTCACCGATGCTCACACTTCATCACACTTTGCCTCCACCCCTTTCAACAACTTGAGAAGAGCGGCTGGGTTATATGGAAAGAGACTTTTCTCCTGCAAACGGTAGATAGCGCCCTGGAGCTCCTTAAGGCATTTCACTGTTCTGAACAACACTCCCACTTCCCAGACAGTCCCACTGGGAGCAATGTCCCCTGCAGCACCGAAGGGAGGGCCAGACTCTTGGGGAAGCAGAGGCCCCAGCTGAGGCTCCCCGCTAAGTCTGTTTTGATCCTTACATGTCCTAGGCAGGCGTTGAATTTCCCTGCTCATTTCTTGACATAAAGGTGTCTGTTTGCTGTTTGCTAAATGCTGATTTGTGGCTTCTTCATCAGAATCTTCTGAGCTACCATAATCTACCAGACTCAGTGGTGGCTGGGAAGGTGGGCCATGAGCTGGCACGGTGTGAGTTTCCTTGGACATCACAACCTGGCTGTGGGATTCAGAGGAGGCATCAGAAGCCCAGGGGACACATGGGCAAGCATTTCTGGGGCCAACAGGAGAAGCCAGAGCATCAGGTACTATGTGGCTGGTGCCTCTGTCTTGGACAAGAGAGGAGACAGGACCTCTAGTATTTACTCCACGTTGTGATTCAACTGCATCAAAAAACTTGCAGATGGACAGGAAGTGACCCCAGTCTTTCTGCAGTAATTTTAAATATTTAACAAAATATTCAAGGAAACAGGTTTCGGAGGAAATCAAGAAGTCAAGAAGAACTGTAGAATCGAACACTATGTTCTTTAATAAGAATAAGAAAATACAATGAGGATTACAGCCGTTTCTATGTGTGTAGTGGATCCATGCTTCATTTTCTTGGGTCAGGCTTCCAGAAGCATCGTCTCCTCCTCTGAAAACACAGATAAGGGAGAGCTCAGAATGACAGGGCTTCACAGACATGTTCTAGCACTCACTTACCATATTACTTTAAAAGGAGATCAAAATCGGACCTGCTCACCACCAACTAGTTTCAGTTTTTGTCTGCACAAAAGTCTCTGTCCTTTACTCAACATCAGAAGCTCCTCTGCTTGAGGGCAACTTATTCCATGTTTACAGTGGAGCTCAAGACCACCACATCAGGGATAGATGTGACCCCAATTGACCAATGAGAACATGGCCTCACGATCCAAGCAAATTAATCCTATCTTCCCTGAGATATCTCTATGGCTAGGAAAAATTACGACCGTAAGATTGATAAAAAGGAAGGATGAAGCTTCTGGTGGTCATGCCTGAGAATGAATCAGCCTGTGAGATCATAAACAGGAAATAATGGCTGGCGTGATTTGAGAACACACAGACACACAGAAAGACACACAGAGAAAGACACACACCATATAGTCACACATGAACACATAAACACAAGAGACAAAGACACATACACAGACACACACAGACACACAGACACAGACACACATACACACACATTCCACACACAGCTATATCTGATGCCAATTTGATACCCTTAAAACTCTCAACTGGCTGGGTGGTGGTGCTGCACATCTTTAATCTCAGCACTGGGGAGACAGAGACAGGCAGATCTTTTGAGTTTGACACCAGCCTGGTCTACAGAGCGAGTTCCAGGACAGTCAAGGCTACATAGAGAAACCTTTTCTTGAAAAACAAAACAAAAGACAAAAATTCTCAACCAGGCCTCAAAAAATTCTATTTTTGCTTAAACTAGTTTGTGGTTTCTGTCACTTACAAATAAAAAAACCTGAAAAGGATGACAGTTTTTTAGGCATCTATGGCACAAAAACCTACCTCTCTGGACACAGCCAACCTAAGCGAAGGCAGCGAGACTCACACGAAGCAGAGATGTAAGAAGGCAGTGCCGAGTGAATCAACACATACTCTGGACTTCTTAGTCTAAATCTGTACTTCACTATTTTTGAGCCTAACTCAAATCACATGCAGGAATTCTGTTTCTTGAGTAGAGCCTTTTGAAAACTGGCCCCAAACATTCATAGATGGAAAGCAGCCATTGCCAGTTGGGCCCTAACATAACAGGCACAAAGCTGCAATGCCAATCATTAGTGAGAAAGCCCTTCTCCTCCCAGGCCAAGGGAGAGGGAAAGGGAGCAAGTACTTGAGGGTTTTAATGAAGCAGAGCAGAAATAATGGAAAGGGTCATCGGTTGTCAGCCTCAGAAGCAATTACAGATGCTGCTGCAAGTACAAAGCAGAAGCAGAAGTGGGCCCAAGTGTCCCAGCCATGTGCCTCCAGGGAGAGCAGCCTGAGGGAGTGTCTGCAAGCGCAAGCTCGGAAAGGCTCCGCTGCTTGTTTCCATTTGCATTCTCACTGGAAAGGTGAAGGTCACCATCTAGAAGCTTGAGTCAAACAAGTAAGTCTTGGAGGTTTTAAGAAAAACGGTTCTTAACCATCAGCTGCAGTTCAGAGAAGGCACTGGCTTACCTTGACCCCACAGGCAACACACGGGGGGGGGGGGGGGGGGGGGGGCAGGGGTCCCCGTCCTGCTTCATTATCCCTGATCTGCTCAGCCAGCCAGCTTCTCAGGATAACGCAAAGAGCATCCATTTTCATGTGAGGCAGAGTTAAAATGGGAGGAAACCACAAGGTATTTCTGCCCAGGTAGAAGAAAAATAATGCACGAGGCAGAAACACCTTTTCTGACATGTGTGTCTCCTGATTCTCTGGCTTGTAGGCAATCCAAGTTACTTGAAAGACACAAACCTTGTCAGCTGCAGGTAGATGCTCAGGGATGCTTTGGCAGCCTCCAGCATATCATCGTCCTGCTCTATAAAGACCCTGGACAGCCATTCACATGGGTTGTGTAATTGTAGAGAGGGTTGAAGGTGAGGCTTTAAGAAGGTCAGTAACTCGGCCATGAACTTCTGCAAGTCAACTTCAAACAACAGAAATTTCAAAGTGCAGGTAATGTTTATAAACACACAAATAATATCTTGTCTGTATGCAAATTTGTAAGTGCATTTTCGTAATCCACACTTTGGGGTCCTAGAGCAGGGGTTAGCTGTTTCACAAATGAAGAAATGAGAATAGCAATGTGACTCACGGAAGAGCCTTCACTTAAAATGTATAGTCAGGTGTCCATCTTCCAAAAAACTAGTTACAGTTTGTCTAAGAAATAAACATATGATTTCATTATGAAAGCATGTTAATTGAGTGGGCAACAGTCTCCTCATTGGCAACCACAGCTTTCTGTTAACTAGAGACTGCTAAGCCATAAAGAAATTGGCATGAAAACATCAGAAAAATCTTCCTTTGGCTTGTTAAAGAACTAAAAGAAAGTACTGCAAAAACCCAGACAAGATCTGGGAGTTTAACTGCAACTCAAACTTCTGAATTATGTAACAGATGCCATCTAGTGTTATAAACCGTAATTGCGGTAATGAGACCATCCTAAAAATGACACCTAGGTCAGCCTGAGAGGTCATTCACTGAGGACTCACACTCTCCTTGGAACCACAAGCTACCTGCTGGAGACAGCCACTGTTGGCCCTCTTCTAGTGAAATGGAAGACATATCCTCTCTAACACCCACACAACTGCTCTCTCAGGCACTCTGAACCTGGACTCCTCACCTTCAAGTTATGTGCGACAATTCCTTTATCAATAGAACTTCCTGTAGTAAGTAGTTTCAACAAAACTTCTAATTATCAGTAACGAACATACATAGTCACAGTGCTTTTGCGAATAATATAATTAAGTATGAAGTGACTTCCATTTGCTTGGTAGTGCCTCAAAAGCAATTATTTTTGAATTCATTATCCTAGGCATATTAATTGTATACAATTAGCTGACAAGCTTCTTAAAATTCCAGTCCCCCACATCCCCCCTCCCTTTGAAAAAGTATTTACTAAACTGAATCAAGAAAATATAACTAAATTAATGAAATGACACTAGCCTTAATACTCAATAATCATGAGTCACTTTTCTTAAGTGAACAATTAATTGCATAGTACTTGGCATAAAAAGATGAGTCTGGAGAATTACCTTTCATTTCGGTTGCTGAGGTACAATTCTGGAACTTGATTTCTAAGGATTTCATTGTAATTAAGCTTGCTGCTCTCAGGGTCACATGATCAGGGCCAGACCTGGGTCGGCATCCAGGTTGAACTTCATCCCCTCCAAAGCAGGACGGCTTTCCAGGCACAGACAATTCCTTCCACAACCCCAGATGCACAGCGTGCAGAAGAGCATCAGCTAAGGCCAACACGTCACTGTCCAGAAGGTGGTCTGGTGACATCAGGGCAGGCACAGAACCACGGCAGAGGTCTTCCCCCATTTTACCAAGAAGGCACTTTTTGATGACTATAACCAATTTCCTTTTAACAAAAGCTGGAACAGGCCAGGCAAGACTATCTAGAGCATGGGGTTTCAAAAACAGCATCCTTTGACTCCGAAAGTGCAATTTCAGGTGGATTCTGGAGGCTATCAGAAGTTCAAGCAGCTCCAGGAAGCACACCAGGCTGTTGACTATGTTAGAGGGATTCTGGAAGTTTCCAAAATGCTGAGAAAATAAGGAATTGTAGAACACTTCAAAAGTAATGTCAAAAAGCACCAAGAGTTGCTTTAGAATTTCTGTAATTATAAAAATAGTAGTTATAAGCAATGGGAAAAACAAAAGCTTTCTTACAACAAAATTTTACAATTCAATTTCTAAGATAAAAAAATAGGTTTAAGAACAGTTACTTCTAATAAGACCAAATGAGGGTATACAGATTAACAGCTAATTATTAAAAGTTAACTCTTGCTTTATAAATATGGGCAGTATCACACTATACAAGAGATATTTAACGATTAAGTTTTAATTTCTTTCTAAAAAGGTAATCTTCAGTGCTGGAGAGTGGTTCATTCGGTAAAGTGCATATGCCTGAGGGCCTGGATTAGGACCCTAGCACCCATGTGGAAGCCAGACAGAGTGGCACACATCTGGAACCCTATCTGCGGAGGTGGAGCTGGAGCTCACTGGCCAGTCAGCCTAACCCAGTTGGTGAGCTCTAGGTTCAGTGAGGGATCTTATCTCAACAAACAAGGTGGGAAGTAGTTGAGGAAGATGCCCAGCATTGACTTCCGCCCTCTACAAGCATCCACAGGCACACATATACCCACATGTGCATGCCCACACACTGAATATGGACACCACACACACCAAGGTTCAGGAGAGAGATTTCTTGCATTTTTCCATACTTCAGGAGAGATGAGGAATAACATACATGTTACTCTTCATTATAAACACAATGCTCCCAAGAGAGTGATGGTCACTTATGGACAGTGTCATCTCTACCTGCTTGCCGTGAATGTGATTCTCTAAAGATTTCTTTTATGACAGCTGTAAGAATCCAGAGGCAATGTGCTGCTTCACTGCTCCCAGAGGATTCTGAGAGATGCTTTTGGCAAAAAGTGATCCAGGGATTGCTTAACATCATCTATAAATAAAAAAAACAAAAGGGTAGCTATAATTATTTTGTTTATAATTAAAATTTACTTGTTATACAACACAATACTATAAAGTGTTGTTTACTTGTTTACATGAAAAAAGTACAGTAATATTTGACAAAACAAGGAACAAAAATATTCTAATATTTTTTAAGGCAGGAAAGTCAACACACCATAGATGTGAAGGATCAAAAAGAACCATGAAAATATCCATGTTATTTATAAACGGTATAGTAATGTGTAAGTCTTTCTTTTTACTTTGCAAATATTCTACCATAAACAACTTTCGTATTCAAAGTGTTATTTTCAAAACAAGCGATTAGAGCACAAAGTCAATAGACGGTGGATCTGTGTGTGTTTGCAAGGCCCTGTATAATACATGTGTGTGAGAGCACACCAGGCACCAGAGGCTGAAGCCAGGTGTCTGTTCAATCACTTCCCTCTTTATTTTTTGAGACAGGATCTTATTTTATTATTATGCTTTTCAATTTGTGCATTATTGTGGGTGCAAATATCTTAATTCAACTATTTGAAGGAGTCAAGTCAATGCCAATGAGCAACTTTAAAACTGCAAGCGATAACTATGAACACAGAAATCCAATTTATCCGACCTTCTCTGTCAGTTGGAAATAGAGGAGCGATGAGAGGCACTTCGCAGCCATGTGAGACAACAACTTGTCGGAATTCTGGAGCATCCAGATCTATAGCAAAACAGACACAGTTCATCACACTGCTGAAGCCTTAAAAACCTTCACTTAGTATCTAAATCATTTAAAAAGTGGTTTACCAATTTGGAATCGACTTCAGTTGACTGCAAAAGGACTTTAATCAGTTCTCTGTACTTCTCTTTTGCGTGGGTCTCAGTTTCAGCAGACAGCACTCGGCTCAGTATCACGTTGATCACTGTTAACTGAAGGAGCTTCACCTCCCGGGCCGTGCTCATCTGAAAGTGTCTCTTTGCACACTCCCGTGCTTCAGGAAGGTTGGTTGGCTCATTGGAGGATGGCCCATGCTGGCCTGGCACACCATCAAGTGTACCATTGACATCAGACTGAGCTAAAGAGGGAGCTGTATAGCCAGCTTGTTCTGAGAGGTCTGGGTTGAGATAATGGATGTAACCATAGACATCATCTTCAAGGATGGCTCCAAGAAGTACTTTCTTGTATAACTGGTCCAAAATTTCTTGGACACTTTCCATTTTGATTCCAAAATGTATATGGTAAGAGAGTCAACAGCCCCAAGGTGTAAATATTGAAGGCTTAGAAATACAATGACTCTCTAAGATGTTCCCTCGGTGAAACCTGAAATAGAAAAAGTAATTTGTAATTGTGAGTGTTAAAGCTGTATTACAAATGAAAGAACACCGTGTTCACTTAGTAAGTCTCAAGTTAGAGATGTTAGTTGCTGAACTCTTCAAATGAATATTATAGTAACACTTTAAAATCACAATGATGAAATGTATGTTTTATATGCAAATATAAGAGCATAAAACTTTTTGTAGTGTTGTTTTGCTTTAGTTTGTTTCAGGGTGTGTGTGTGTGTGTGTGTGTGTGTGTGTGTGTGTGTGTCTTACTAAGAACTGAACCCCAGATCTTGGTCATGCCAAGCAAGCACTCTACCTCTGAGCTTGATCCCCAGCCCTGTCTTTTATTTTTTGTTTTGAGATGGGGTCTCTATAAGCTGCCTACAGTGGTAAGCTCACCTTGATCTCACTCTGTAGCTCAGGGAGACCTTGAACTTGTGATCCTCCTGCCTCAGACAAGCGAGTCTCTGGGATCATGGGCTGGCATCACCAGGCCCAGCTGAAAATACCAGCTTTCTTCTAATAGTAGTTCCAGGTAGCTGCTTGGTTTCTCAGACTTGGTACTGTTGAAAGTGGAGCCAGACTCCTCTGTATGCGGGAGCTGCAAGAACACTGTAAGCTGGTAAGCAACCCTCCACTCAACCCCACCTCACCCCACCCAAACCTCTACCCTCCTGGCCTAATGCTCCCAGCATCATCCACCAGATTCTGATGACTAGAAATGTCTGCAGACATTGTTAGATGTCCCAGTTCAAAAACACTGGGATCAATCAAATTCTTTAACCTTCACTCTGACTTATAGATTAAAACCTGATTGACTATTTATATATCATATTACATAACAATGATGTTAGGATCCTAAGTCATCACCTCTGTGACTAAGTAAAAACCTTTTTTTAAAAAAAGTGCTATCCCAAGAAAGTCAAGAAGGGAAGGAAAAACAACCCAAACTGAGCAGACTGTACTTGTAACTGCATAGAAATTTAGACATTCAAGTTGTTCCAGAATTCTCTGGCATGATGGAGATCATAATGGGTTGTGACACATGTGACAAATGTGACATGTGACACATTTAGGGACAGATATGGCTTTTAAAGCAGAGAAAAGAGGCAGCCAGTCAATGCCAGAGGAAGTATGCTGTCAATGGTATGAGCAAAAAAGAGGACTGGACATTCTTTCAATGGAATGATGGAGGCTCTGGGACCCTACTGGGCCACCTTACTCCTCCTAAATATAGAGAGCTTTAAGCTACACACACATCCCTTATGTTCTGACAAGCAAAGAATCCTCTCCTACTGGGGAAAAGGAGGGTTTTGCTTGTTTTTGTACACTTGAACACTCACATCCCCCATATAAATTCATAGTTCTCTTACTTTAAATGGGTATGACAGCTGCCTGATTCCCTCAATTCCTAAGTTTTGGTGCATGAGCAGGCCTTTTGGAGCCCACTTCTATGATGGGATACCTCATATAGCCTTGAGGCAGGGGGAAGTACTTGGACCTACCTCTACTAAATGTATCTCCCCATGGGAGGCCTTACCTTCTTGTAAGAAGGAATAGGGGGTGGGTTGAGAGGGGAAGGCTGGAGGGGTGGGAGGAGGGAAGAGAGGGATCTTTGGTATGTAAAATGAATAAAAAAATTTGTTAATAAAATAAACAACTTTGTTCACATATGCAATTTACATGGATCCTGACGTTGTCTTCTTTCACAAAATGTTACTTTAATTTTATGTATATGGGTGCTTTCCCTGCATGCATGTCTATGCACCATGTGCATGCCTGGTGCTCACAGAGGTCAGAAGAGAATGCCAGATTCCCTGAAACTGAAGTAACAAATGGATGTCACCTGCTATGGTGGTTTGAATGAGAATGGTACCCAAAGACTCATTTACCTGACTGCTTGGCCAGCAGTTGGTGGAACTGTTTGGGAAGGACTAGGAGGCATGGACTTGGTGGAAGAGGTGTGTCACTGGGGGCGGCCTCTGAGGTTTCAAAAGTCCATGCCATTGTCAGTTATCTCTCTCTCTCTGCCCCATGCTTGTGGATCTGATATAAAGTTTCAGCTACTACTCTAGCTGCATGCCTGCCTGCCTGCAGCCATGCTCTTTACCATGCTAGTCATGACTCTAATCCTTTGAAATCATGAGCTCCCAAATTAAAGCTTTCATTTTTAAGTTGTCTCTTCACAGCAATATAAAAGTAATGAAGACAACTGTCATGTGGGTGCTGGGAATCAAACCCAGATCTGGATGAACAGCTCTTCAGCACTGAGCGATTTCTTTAGCCCCTGTTGAGCCATCTCTGCAGCCCTTGACTTTGTCTTCTTAAAATACCCTAGTTAGTAAAACCCATGGACTCTCCTTCTCCACCATAACTCAAGTCCAATTGCCCTGCACATGCTTAACTTCCCTCCTCAGAGGAGAGGTTATGAGGGTGACCACTCGTGCTGTGCCTCCCTTCCAGAGTGTGGCCCATTCACTGGTCTTGACTTTGCCATCTTCTTCTATGAAATTTTACGTGTATGGCTATTTTGCTTGCATATCTGTCTGTGCACCACAGGCACACCTATTTTGCTCTTTTGTTTGTTTTGCTTTTCTTTCTAGTTGGTTTGATTGTTCTGCAGCAGAGTCTCACTATGTAACCCTGGCTGGTGTGGAACTCACTATGTAGACCAGGCTGGTCTCAAACTCAGAGAGACACAGCTGCCATGGCCTAAGGAGTTCTGGGATTAGATGTATGTGTCACCTCACCCAGCTCAGTCTTTTACCACTTATTTCTTCCCATTGAGCACTTAAGGAATCTCAACCGTGGGCCACCTAACCAGACAGTTTTGTAGTAGAGAACTAAAATAGAGCAGCTAAATCTTAACAAATCTATAGATTTTAAATTTATGAACAAAATTTTTACTTAAGTCTTCTCCAAATCCTATTTTAAGATTCATTTTTATCATTACTTATGTGTATGTGAGTGTCTACATCTGGGTATTTGCACCACGTCAGTACAAAAACAACAGATACCAGAAGAGGGCATCGGATCCCCTGGAGCTGTAGTTATGAGTGACTAGAAGTAGGTAGTGGGAACTGAACTCAGGTCCACTGCGGGGACAGCAAGCATTCTTAACTACCAAGCCATCTTTCCAGCCTCTGAGCACTACTTTCAAGCTGTGATGTGCATTCCACACAACTTAATAATCTAGACTTTGGTAGCTTTGTTCCAATTGACAATGCTAAGCTTTCCTGTACTCACATAAGTAGCAGTGGTTAAGAAGTCTGTAACCCTCTGTATGCTAACCCACAGCTAACCAGAAAGGACAGTCCTGGTCTGTGTGCCCAGAGGGGACTGACCTCCACCATCCATACCCTTTCCTCACTTTCTGAGATGAAATCTTGCTAAGTTGTACGGCCTGGCCTTGAATTGCATCTTCATGCCCCAGTTTCAAACATAGCTGGGACACCAGGGTCACATCATCCCTTCTTTCTTTGGCCATCCTCATTGAGAGGTTTCCCATTACAGGAAATTCTCCCAACTGCAATGGCCAGAATAAAATCAGCTGTTGGCATAGTTTTCCAGTTACATGTCAGAAACTGACATTCATATTCTACTTTAAAGTCTAAATCCCTTTTCATAACAGTTTTCTTTTCTCAGTAGTACTAATATTTAGAATATTTTAGGCTTTAATTATTATCATACGCTCATCTCTTGTCATTAACTTTAGCAACAAATGCATTTTCATTCCAATGTTATTTATAGCAATAAAAATCCTTAGGACAATATTCCTGTCACCTCTCGTTTTACCGAGTGAGAATGAAACCTCTCCTTGGTCATTCTTCACTGCCACCATCATCTCAGCACCAGTGAAGGTCAATGCCAGAGAACAACAGTGTGGGGGAGGGGCAGCCTGCTTTCTGTCATGGTAGGCCCCAGGTTCCTTGGCAGGAATGGCTCTAAGAAGTCAGACTCAAAGTTTGCCCATTTTAAATTGAGAAATACATCTTCAGAGACAGTTAGACGGCTCAGAGGGTGAAAGCAATGTCTTAGTTACTTTCCTACTGCTGTGATAACACACCATGGTGAAGGAAACCTACAGAAGAAAATGTTTACTTGAGTTTACAGTTCCAGAGGGTTAACAGCCCTTCATGGCAAGAAAGCTTGGCAGCAGGCTACAGACCTGACAGCTGGAGCAGAAGCTGAGAGCTCACGTGCTGAACCCTAAGCAGGAAGCAGAGAGCACACTCAAAATGGTGCAAGTCTTTAAACTCTCAGAGCTTGCTCCCCGTGACAGACTTCCTGCAGCAAGGCTACACCTCCTAAACCCATGTGAACTGTGGACCAAGTACCGAACATCTGACTGAATGGTGGACACAAGGCATCCAAAGCCTCACTGGTATTTGCTACCGGTGCTACTGGCAAGCCAGCCTTATGGTAGAATTCAGCTCTTGGGTCCCAGGGGTGGAAGGAGAGAACTGATTCCCACAGGTTGTTCTCTGACATAATGTACGCATGCACACACACAAATAAATACAACAATAATATACACATCTGGTTGGGGAATGAAGCTCCGGAGTGGGGCATTTCCTACGCGTGGGTGATGTCCTGGGTTCAACCCCCAGCACATAAATAAATAACTATTCAGAAAATAACAAAACAAAACAAAGACATCACAAACACTCAGAGAACAGGCAAGAAAACTGACAACAGTTACGTGCTGGGGTGCTTCTCCGGGCGCCTGGCACAAAACTTCAGTTGCACTTAAAACATGATTCATGGTGATTCAATGCACCCCACAGTACACCCCACAATAAATGTCTGTAGGTGGCCTGTTAAAAGTTGAAAACTACTAAAGAAAACCCACTGCTCTTCCCCAGAAAAATGCTGGATTAAAGGGAAGGGAAATCTGAGAAAGCAGACTAGGGGACCAAGTGGCCGTACTATGGCCCTCAAGGGATTGCTCATGGTTGGTTCACTGCAAACCGAAATGCCATGCTGGCCTGGAAAGATATGTACCATTCAGAAGCCATGACTGTTAAAATGTGGTCACAGCTGGCTGTCTAGTATGTGTGCAGCAATGCTTTGAAACACCTACACAGAGTCTACAAGGGAGGCCACTATCACAGAAAAGAAATATTTGGAGATGTCTAGTCAGGACATGGACATAAAGAAATTATTTCTTAGATGATCTCCACTGACAACTGGTACTTTTTTTCTGATGTTAAAAAAATTATCCTTTTAGAAAAAGATGTAATAAAAAATCCTTGGGATCAAAAACCTTGGCCTCTTCCAAAAGCATAGTACATAAAGCAAAAATTGATATGTTAAACTTCAAAAAAATTAAAATATTTGCTCTCTAAAAAATTCCACTAAGAAGCTGAAAGATTGCTGCGGGACATAGCTCAGTGGTAGAGTCCTTGATCAACACGCATGAGGTTCGAGGTTCAGCCCCTGGTAGAGTGGGGAAAGAAAACAGAAAAGAAAAGCTACCAAGCGTTAGGCCCACAAAAACTCTCAAAAATCAGCACTGACAACTGACTAATGCTACAAGCTCTGCCCTGGAATGCCAGTTCTTCAAAGGCAACCAGATGGTTCTAACAGCTGAGAGCTGACTCAAAGAAACTGACATTGGGTGTTACCAGATATGCAGAAGCGGGACCAGATCCCTAGCAGCCTCACCTTCCCTGCAAATGGGGAGCAGAAACTCGCGGGTGCTCACCTGTCTTGGAATCTGCAGAGACTAGAGGAACAAATTAGATAGAGAAAGCGAACACAGAAGCACGCTGACTGTGTAGCTGAAGAAGGACACTGCACAGAGCTGTTGCAAGGCACAGAAAGGTCTCACATGGAGGCTGCGGACCTTGGCTCCCAAGGTGTTGCCTAATCATGAGTGTAGAGCTGGAATTTGCTGCTTTGTGGGCACCATCATTTGTTCCTCGTGTCCACACCAGTCATCCTGGAATCCCCTCGCTGACTCATCAGTGCTGGGTTCTGGAGGACAGACAGAAAAACAAGTCAATTGTGATGCAGAGGAGAGCTGGGCAGATGCTGGTTTTGATGTCAAAGACAATCAAGGAATCCCAAGCAGGTTGCAAAGAGGCTTGTTCTGCATATTTAAAAACCAAGGTTGCAAGCTGACCAGAAAAGGGGATTACCCCTGAGCAAGAAGCTTCAGGAAGCATTGGAGAAGCCCCCCTGGAGGACAGCAGTACACACCAATGCCTCTTTCCTGGCCAGCATGGTTGTCACCCTTCGCTATTTTACCTGAATCTTAATCTGAGTCACTGAGAGTGTTCCCTAAACAGATAAAAACTATGGCTTTGGGATGAATCTCCCAACTGCACTTAGGCCAGTAATTACAGAAAAATGTCATCCAAGGTGAGGTAGTATTTCTAAAAAAGCTGAGCCCTATATAACCCAGTGCTGTCATTCTTAAGTGTCCTCTCTACTCAGCTCCACAACAGGAAACGAACAAAAGCATGAAAGAACAACAGAAATAACTATAAAGAGTACCACTCTCAGAATAGCTGCAATAACACTCAGACACCAAACGCTGGCAAAGATGTGCAGAAACTAGATCCCGCTCAAACAGCTACTCTGCAAATGAATCTGGCAGTCTCTTAAAAAGCTCAACATCTAGTCACCAGATGACCCAGCAACTGTGAAGCCGGCATTCGTGCCAGAAAAATAAAGCCATTCACACAAAAACTTGGACAAGATGTCCTTCACTGGGTGTGTGGTTAAACAAAGTGGCGCAGCCACACCATGCAATACTTCTCATCAACAATGAACACCCTATTGCTATATGAGATGACTTAGATGGCTCTCAAAGGGATAATGCTGAGGGCAGAAGGCAACCTGAGAGGCCGCACACACGCAGGTTAGTTCTGTTCCTGAAAAGCAAATAGAGATGCAAGTCAGCGCTGGCTGAGGGCCTCACCTCCTTAGTAGGCGGGGCGATGAAGGATACCAGGAGGCTGCGTGAGGTGCTGACAAATGGATAGGGGACAGTAACCTATATATGACAAAATCACACAGAGCTAAGCACACATTCCAATACATGCATCCAGATAAAGAGGGAAATCTGAAGGAGGCTGGTGGGCTGTGTCAAGAGCCTGGCAAGACTGTCAATCAAGATCCTGGGTTGTGTTGAGCAAGATGCTGGGGGAAATCAGGAAAAGGCTACACAGTGTCTTATTGTATTTTCCTCAAACTGCTTGTGATTCTACAATGACCTCAAAGTAAAAGAAGCATTAAAAGAAACCCCAGTAATTTTAGCCAGTTAAGACAGCACATCCCTACAACCCCAGCTACGCAGGAGGCTGAGCCAGTAAGACTGAAAGTTCAAGTCCTGTCTTGGAAACTTAAGGCAGGAGGGGAGGGAAGATTGGAGACACAGCTTAGTGGTAGAATGCTTGCCCAGAATTGACTTCCAGAACCACAAAAACAAACAAACAAACAAACAAGCAAGACTCCTCTCAATTTCATGAAGGGTTATTGCTGTGGATATCGCTCTGTATAAATAAACACTGATTGGCCAATAGCCAGACAGGAAGTGTAGGCGGGATTAATACAGAGGAGAATTGAGGAAACAGGAAGGGAAGTGAGAGATGGCCTGGAGCCGCCGCCAGGACAAGGAAGATGTAAGGTACCGATAAGCCACGAGCCACGTGGCAAAGTATAGATTAATAGAAATGGGCTGAGTATAAGAGTAAGAGCTAGACAATGATAGGCCTGAGCTAATGGCCAAGCAGTTTAAATAATGTAAGAGTCTGTGTGTTTATTTTATAAGTGGGCTCCAGGACTGGCGGGACTTGATGGGAGCTGGAAATTCTCCAGCTACAGGTTATAGTCTTTCCATATATATAGATTTCATTCACATCCACTAGATGCTATTAAAAACATATTAGAGTTTTTTTTTGTGTGTGTGTGGGGGAGGGGAGTTAGTATCTTTGTAGCCCAGGATTTCCTTGAACTTACAGTTCTCTTGTCTAAACTTCCTGAATGCTGGGGTTATAAGCTTATGTCACCATGCCTAATTTACACTAAAATTCTGATTCTTAAAGTCTCTACACCAAACACTGAACAGAAAAGTATCAGAAAGTACACTGAAAATGTTCTCTTAAAATATTTTTAGAAACTAACCAGATATAATGGTGCATGCTTTCAATCCTAGCATGTGGGAAGCAGAAGCAGAAAGATCTCTGTGAGTTCAAGGCTAGCCTGAACTGTCCACACAGTAAGTTTCAGACCAGTCAGAGCTACATAGTGAGACCCTATCAAAACCAAACAAACCTAGAAGCTGAGTGTGGTGGTCATGTTTGTATCCCAGGACTTGGGGGTTTGGGGAGTACATAGACACAGGAGGAAGAGGAGCATAGGAATCCTTGGGCGCCAGTAAGATGGCTCAGCTTGTCTAGGTGCCTGCCATAAAGCCTAACGGCCAGAGTCTGAGCCCTGGAGCCCACCTGGTGGAAAAGAACCACCTCCCATGTTTCCTCTGATCCTCATATGTGCCAGTGTGCACACACAATCAAATGAATATAAAAGGTTAGCCTGAGTTTTTACAACAGCCAGATCCTGTCTTGAACTCACTTTGTAGACCAGGCTGGCCTTGAACTCACAGAGATCCGCCTGGCTCTACCTCCCAAGTGCTGGGATTAAAGGTGTGCGCCACCACCGCCTGGCCTAAATAAATATCTTAATAGTAGTAACAATAACACAATGGTCATCTTTGGTACACAGTGAGTTTGAGGTCAGCCTGGGCTACAGAAGACCCTGATGCAAAAACAAACGACAAACAAAAACCCAAACCAAACAACAAAGCACAAAAAAACCCCAAATTTTCCATGATATGGATAGAACTTTGAAGCCTTCATAGCTAATGTTATTAAAAGTAAAACACTGACTTTTTTTTTTTTTTTTACAAATATACTAGAGTTTGCCAAGAGATTCAGGATTAAGCCTCAGCTTAAGTCAACAGCTGCTCAACTTTAATGAGAGCCCAAGCAGCTACGTAGTTCAGATGGTGGCTATGACACTCAAGGCAGAAGCTGAATTACTCCAAGCAAAGGCTGTCTTCCAGGGTTCTGGTTCTGTCCCCATTGAGACATCACAAACTGTGAGTGAGTGGCACATAGGAATGACTAATCAAAATTAAGCAGGCCCAGCCCAGAGGGAACACTGACCAATCAGAACTACCCTCATTTGCATATCATAATCCATCATCTTGAGGCAGGTTTTGTCCTTGCCCAGCCCACTGCTTCCTTGAAATGTTTGTAAGGTTATCTTTTTTACTCTGATATGGATTGGTGAATTCTTTTTAACCATGTATGAATCTGACCCACATCACATTTGTCTGCATGGACTCTGGGGCACATCACTACATGCTTCCATTCCTCATGATCCTTGGTAAGCTCCATAAGTGCTTGGAGAGGACGGACAGCCTCTACTTGGGACAACTCCCACCCAGTAGGACCAGGTTTCCATGCTCCAGGGCATGGTCCTCTGTTGCTGGGGGTGAGGGACTAGAGTTCCTCTGGGAGTCTTCTCTCTGCCTCGGGACTGCTGAACAATTCCACTGAAGAATGAGGACAGCTGAGGAATCCTTGCTGAGACCAGTCCTGTGTGGAACAAAGGCCTCCCTTCTCTCACACTCCACAGCTGTCTTCCACCTTTCAACAGAAGGTCTCTCCTCCTGTGGTATCTGACAGTCGCCAACTAAGGACAACCCTGGTGGAATTGAAGGTTTGAGACAGAGTCTGTAAGGAAGGACTCTTTTCTGTTTCTCCTCATTCCCTGTTCTCAGTACTCTGTGCAGCAGGCCACGGCAGCTCTCCCTGGGGGACTCTGCATACATTGTGGTGAATACTTCTGGAGGCCCTATAGCTTCTCTTTCCTTCCTTTCTGCCTCTCCTGAGAATGACTCCATTCATCTGAGGATTCTTCGTGACATCAGACTGCAGAACCCGGGCCGTGTATCCAGTGTCCCTGAACTTTTAACTGTTGGTTCCAGTGCCAAGACATCCTTTTAGTAAGTTAAATGCCCTCTTTGACATCTGCACCTCAAGTCCCTTGTGGACATCTTCTCAGGAAGTCCTTTAGTAAGGCAAGCTATCCCTTTTTGAAAGTGCACATCAAATGTCTTGAACCTAGGGCCCTTTTCCCTGGAAGGGTGTCTGTTAGAGTAGGGAACTGATCTCCCCATCATGAGACAGTCACCCCCTCTCCCGTCAGACTCACCCCCGGGGGTAGGAGTGAGGGACACTTGGAAAAAAAAAACAAACTGGAGAAAAAATTGAACCCCAGACTCTGAAACATCTGTGTTCCTTTGTCTCATGGCTTGGCTCTGAGACAAAGAGGCATGGTCCCTAATCAGTACCCCCAACTGCAGTACTGGTCTCCTGTTTGCTTTGTTCTCTTACAACCTTTGGAAATGATTTGGTGTTCACCATAGCCACTCTATCATGTCCCCTTTCTCCAGCTCCAAATCGGTGACAAACCCGCTGTGGGTGCCTGGCCAGGTCCTTAGGGTCCTTAGAAGGACAGTTGTCCACCTCGTCCTACTGATCACTAGCCATACCCACCGTCTCAGTAGCTCTCCCCCATATCTTGAGGCCCCGACACTCTCTCCCTCTGGCACACCTACTTGGGGGATCCCTCCCACCGGACAGAATAGGCCTAACATCTATTCTGTGAGGCACCAGCAGAGAACTGGAAACCATCCGAGTCTATGTATTCTTTCCCTCGCTTGACTCTACCCTCACTGAAACTGAACAGCTCTTTTAATCAAGACCCCTCCACTTCATTAAAGAATTTCATATACTATATAAATTGTCTCCTTGACTTAGTTAAGGCTTCTATTGCTGTGAAGACACCATCCATGACCACGGCAACTCTTATAAGGAAAACATTTATTTAGGGTGGCTTTTTCTTACAGTTTCAGAGGTTCAGTCCACTATCACCATGGCAGGCAGCATGGCGGTGTGCAGGCAGACATGGTGCTGGCTACATCTTGATCAGAAGGCAACAGGAAGTGGCTGTGACACTGAGCGAAGCTTAAGCAAAAGAGACTTCAAGGCCCACCCCCACAGTGACAAGCTTTCTCTAACAAGGCCACACTTCCCAACAGTGCCACTTCCTATGAACTTATGGGGGCCAAACACTGTCAATCTACCACTCTCCTATGCATGAGGAATTTGGTTACTGGTCAAGAAATGGGTCAATGAGGCTCATGCCTGTAACCCTTGTGCACTGGTTAGATTTTTTTCTGTCAATGCAACACAAGCTAGAGTCATCTGGGGAAAGGGAATTTCAATTACTAAAATGCTCAATACAGATGGCCTGTAGGCAAGCCTATGGGGCACCATCTTGATTAATGATTGATGTGGGAGGGCCCAGCCCAGTGTGGGTGATGCCATCCTGGGAAGGTAATCCTGGGGTGTAAAAGAAAGCAGTCTGAGCTACTGATAGGAAGCAAGCCAGGAAGCACATTCCTCTGTGGCCTCTGCTTCAATTCCTACCTCCAGGATCCTGTCCTGACTTCTCTTCGTGATGGACTGCCAGGTGTTAAGTCTGAGACACCCTTTTCCTCCCCAAGTTGCTTTTGGTCATGGTGTTTACCACAGCAATAGAAACCATACTCAGGCACCATGGAAGCCCCTCCTGGGGAAGAAGCAGTTTCCAAACAGGCCATGGGTGAACTTACCCAGATAAAGCTCTAGAAAGGGGAGTCATAATTACCTGTGCTCATGGGTAACAGAAGATATGAAAAAGGCCACAAGGAAACTTATGAATTCTATCAAATTGAAAGAATTCAAAGAGGCCCACTGAGAACCAGTTTTACTTCATTCCAGATTGGCCCTGAGGACACAAACACACACTAACCTGGACAGAGAGAGTCCCAAAGGCCTTCCCAGGTATCAGACAAAAACTTCAGGAACTAGACAGACCTCAATTCCCTTGTCCTACTTTACTAGATATAGCCTTTAAGATATCTACTGATTAGGCGGTGGCTTCAAGGACCAAGAAGGAAAGGCAGTGTGACAAGCAACAGGCCTAGTACACAAGAACAGTCATAGACCAGCCGATACCAGGGCAGCCCTAAGTACCTTCCCGGCATGGTCCCATCCTGCACACTAAGAGCCCAAGTTGATTAAAACTTTCTCTCCTGACTCACAGGAACCCTCAGTGGGCTGTTACAACTGCTGCCATAGGACACATCATTTAAAACTGTCAAAATCCATGTGCCTACCACCTTGCCCATAACTGGAATTGCAGGACACTGAAAAGGGGACTGACCCTCTCTTGCTCAGAAGGGGGACAGGGAGGTCATCTCAACAACAGAAGTCCACAGGGCTCTCTGGCCAGAGGGACTGACAGTTATTTTTGATTCTGTTCCTTTATTATAAGCCCACCATGGAAAGGAGCCATCTTCAGCTTGACTGATAAGAGTCCAGAGGCTGTACGGGTTCCCAGATTTTCTGTCTCTACGGAAGAGCCTTGAATGACAGTTTTGTTCTTAGGAGCTGGATCAGGGGAATGGCAGTATTTAATACAAACTGCAGTTCTCCAGAGGCTAACTCTTTCTAACGTACCACAGACAGACTGGGCATTAGAATAGTTGTGAGCTGGAATACAGCTCAGTGGTGGGGTTTGTGTCTAGTATGTGTGAACTCCTGGGTTTTAGCCCCAAAAGCACCACTACCTCTCATGTTAGTACCAGAATCTTGACTATGATCTAGACAATACTCTTAAATTCTAGCATCAGAATTCTCCAGAAGGCTTGTTAGAACATGGGCAATAATACCCCCCTACCCCAGATTCTGATTTTGTAGGTCTGGGAAAGCTCAAGAATTGGATCAAAGATGACACTAAAATTTTCTGCTCAATTTATTTAATTTTACTGATAAGAAAGCTGAGTTCCCTGGCTTCATATCACACTGTGCTAAGCATTTTCTCAAAATGGAACATCTTATTAATATTAAAAGTGGCAGTTTTCTACTCTCAGTTACTCGTGATTAAGCAGTCCTTCAGAAATCAATCTTTCCTGGGAAAGATTCACTGCCCTTTACCACCCCACATCCTGTTAAGGGTCCCTCATCAGCATCCTGTTTGCGGGGCCAGTGAGACCAGCATCTACAATGTGATTTCTCTACTCATCCTGCCCCTCTTTCTGCCAGGGACAGCTGGACTATGGTTACAAGGATATCACTGGGTGACATCTGGTCTATTGTGATCCTATCCAGAATCACCAGGTCCCTACACAGTTCCATTCAGAATAATGCCCATCATCCAGAGCACAAGCTGCTCTTTTTCTCTACTACCAACTGCTTTAGAGGCTAGACATGGCTTACAGGGCTGTGGTCACACATGGAAGACAGCATAAATTATTAGGAAAAATTTCTAAGCCCCAGATTCTAAAGACCAACTAAATCATAGTTGCTACATTTGGGGTTGGGACTTCCTCCGATGAGTCATTATTTAAGAATTATTTGGCTGGGCGGTGGCTGCACACGCCTTTAATCCCAGCACTCGGGAAGTAGAGCCAGGCAGATCTCTGTGAGTTCGAGGCCAGCCTGGTCTACAGAGTGAGATCCAGGACAGGCACCAAAACTACACAGAGAAATTCTGGCTCGGAAAAAAAAAAAAAATTGAGTATTTAACCATTAAAAACAACAACAAAAAAAAAACCATGTTGTTTTATATGTAAGACCCATTGTTTTTTTTATTATTCTTTATGAATAAACCAAACACTACACACATACACACACACACACACACACACACACACACACACACACACACACACACACAGGTGTGCACACACAAACATTTGTATGTGCCTGTGTTCAGGAGCTTGCAGAGGCCAGAAGAGAACATCAGATCTCATGGAGTTGGTGTTACAGGTAGTTGTCAAACATCTAATGTGGGTGAGGAACCAAACTTGGGTCCTTTGAGGAGCACTGTGTGCACTTGAGGAGAAAGCTGGGGGTAGCGGTGGGGGTGTGCGTTTGTGATCCCAGCACTGGGGAGACAGAGATAGGAAGATTTCTGAGGTGCACTGCCAGTCAGCCTACCTGGTGAGCTTCAAGCCAATGAAGGACCATGATTCAAATGAGGTTGATAGTTTTTCTGATACCCAAGGTTGTCCTATGGTCTCCATGCACACAAGCACATGTATAAACTGACACATGTGTAACCATATACACATGTATACACACACACACACACACACACACACACACACACACCCCAACAAACTGGCTTCTGTAGGCCACCTGCCTGAAAGATTACACGGGAGTAATCAGAAAACCTGGTTAGTTCCTGTGACTGCTTCTTTGAGGACAGAAAGCTCATCACTAAGATAGGGTGAGGTTTGTCCTGAGGATTCTCAGGACAAAGAAACAACAGCCTATGTTTTGTTCAGCAAGAACTGGAGGTCAGTGCAGTGGACCTGTGGCTTATCTGGTGAAGAAGGATCCTGGGGTTGCCTCCCTACTTGAGCCAACAGTTTGCAGGAATAACAATATGCCTGACTTGGCTGCCCCATAGATGTGCTATCCCCAGTGAAGTCATCGCTTAAAAGCAAATCTAAGAACATGTAACCTCGTTTAAATTGCCTTTGGGTATTAAAAGACAGGTCGGGGCCCGAACAATCACAGAAACAGGATTTTAAAGCAACAATTCAATGGACTACAGAAATAGGAAAACCATTTTACTGGTAATATAGTTAAAGGGTGTGGAGGTTTCTCTACCACACTTGCATCAAGAAATTCTCCTTCTAAGGAGCACTGTGCTCCTCACACATCCCAGACTGTAAGATTCTTAAGAGTGTCTCCTGAGATCTGTGAATGATGGAAGAAACAAAAAACGTTTTCTCTTATTAAAAGCCATATAATAATCCAGGCCAGAGAGAAGGCTTGGTGATTAAGAGCACTAGCTGCTCTTGCAGAAGACCTGAGTTCAGTTCCCAGCACCCACAAGGTGGCTCACGACTCTCTGTATCTCCAGTCCCAGGGGATCTGACACCCTCTTCTGGCCTCCTCAGCACCAGCACACAGGTGGTGCACAGACATACACGCAAACACTCACTCCCATAAAACAGAAACAAATAGATCTTAAAAGAAAACATGCTATACTGAAACCCTGACTACCTACTTCACATCAAAGAGCAAAAGCCCCCCCCCCCCCCCCCCCCCCCCCCCCCCCCCCCCCCCCCCCCCCCCCCCCCCCCCCCCCCCCCCCCCCCCGAGGAGTGGCTTCCACATCAGTGAGGTTAGAGCACAGCCAGAAGGCTGTCTGCCTTTGCTGCATGCAGGACCCATTCACCTGTTAGGGTATTACTTAAGAACTGGGCTAACACGATCCTGTATAAGAATATCATTTACACTGAAAAGTAAGATAGGACTTACTACTAGGAACTAGAAAGACCAATCATCAATTTGTATTTTTTAAATAAAACTTAAATATATGCAGTTATTGTATAATGTTGAAAAAAAATCTTGAAAGTTTAAAACACAGTAAACAATCAACATCAAAATATTTTGCCCCTGTCCCTGGTCTATGGGCAGGCTTCTGAAACCCTGTGCCTGTGGTGTGACACCTTGCACAGCCTTGGTGCAGTGGGAAGGGGCTTGGACCTGCCTAGGCTCAGTGTGCTGGGCTCTGCTGACTCCCCATGGGAGACCTCGATTTGGGGGATGTGGGGATACGGGGTGGCTTGGGAAAGAGGGCTGGGGGGTGGGAGGAGTGAGGAGGGGGATCTGTGGATAGTATTTGGAGTGAGAAGAAAATTTCTTAATAAAGAAAAATGAAAGAAAAAAAGATAACTGTATGTAACAGAAAGATGTGTAGACATGTGAAAACAGATGTAACTGTGTATACAGAGATAGGGCCGTATGTATGTAAAGAAAAATGCATAGCTGTATGTATAGAATGTAGTCATGTGAAGATATGTTGCAGTTTGGAGACAAAGTGTCAGAGACCATTTTTAAGATGAAATAAAAGAGAAAGTTATTATCAGAAAAAAAATATTTTGCCCACACTAATACTGTAAATAAAATGTCTTACTATTAATAAGCCAGTGTATTGTAATACCAGTATCTCTTGCAAAAAAAAAAAAAAAAATCAGAATGGGCTGGGCTGGCAAGATGGCCTGGTGGATAAAGGGGCTTTCCTCCAAAGGCTGACAACCTGAGTTTGACCCCCGGGACCTACCAGGCAGAAGGTGAGAACCAACTACTGAAAGTGGTCCTCTGACCTCCATGTTCATGCATACATACATTCAAAACAAACAAATGCAAAAAAAGGTTTTTTAATTAAAAATTAACCATGTTCCAGTAAGATAAAATCATGAAATTAAATCAAGGTTTCTTGTTGAAATAGATTTACTATTTTTAAATTTTGAAAATATTCGTAGTCTGATTTTGGGGGTCAGAATCTTTGCATTGTGTTTGTATGCAAAAACTGCCCTTATCCTCAAATAAACAAAATGGTAAATAGGTATTTATATAGATGCTTAACTGGGGTATGCATGAAGTTGGCTAATTTAAATTCACTTTTTGTATCTAGAGTACTAATATTTTCCATTGTTGTAACATTTAACCTTCTGTCACTTAAGCAAATTTTCTAACTATTTCTAAAATAAATGATAATATTCTGCAGTCTAAGGCTGGGGTGTAGCTCAGTGTCACCGCACCTGCCTAGCAGGCGTGAGTCCCTGGGTTTGATCCCCAACACTGCAAAAAAAAGCAACCTCCAACCACTCCAAGCTCCAAAGCTCTGCACTCTAAACTGCTTTCAAGTCAAAGAACTATAATGCAAGAATTAGCAAATCTAATAGCTGAAGTCAATAAAGAATTTTGGGTTCTCCAGTAGCACACCCTGTGAGATTCTGGCTATCAGATGTTCCTCCTGTTATCTCTACATCGTTAGAAAAATTGCTGCAGTTCAGATGTGGGATTTTAACAGGAAGATGGCCGTGCTGGCCATGAGGAGAGAGCACAGTGACCCTCACAAAGGTGCTGCCAGACCTTCCTGTCCCCAAAGCAGCCGCATCTGGCCCGAGCTCTGAGTGCTCTGCCACTGTAGGACAGTGTCTTCCCTACCTTACACATTGATTCCCCTTCTCTCTTGTCCCTTCTTCATGGAGTCTGAAACTGTCCGATTCTATGCTTAGCAAATGTCCTACAAACTAACTTGTAAAGTACATCTGAACTGTTAGAAAATAAAATTTTAATAAATGTAAAGATCTAATAGTTTTTTTTTTTTTAAATCAGTGATTCACAAATTAGGTAATGTCTCATTTAATGATTATTCTCTTTTTCTCTTTCTTCCTTTTTTCTTTTTCTTTTTCTTTTTTCCTGTAACACTCAGGATTAATCCCAATGCCTTGCACATGCTAGGTAAGTACTCTACCCCTGAGTCAAACTCCAGACATCACATAAAGATATAGAAAAGGTATTCTAAGGAGCTGGACAGTGGAGCTGAGCTCTATAGGCAGAAAAACAAAAGCAGAGTACAAAAGACAAGCACTTCTGAGTCACTTTCTTTCTAGGAAGGACAGGGGACATCCTTCCAAGCTGGCTCAAGTACATTGGGTTCCAATGAGTCCCTGCTGTACAGCCCTTGTGAGCTTTTTATTTTTTTTTATCATTATTAAAAAACTGGCTTATTTCGAAGTTCAGTTTGATTACCTATACTTAGTACAATTGACTGTTCTGGTTTGGTCTAGCTGGTCAGTTGGGCCTGATACAAAGGCAAAAGCCTCCAAGAGGTTTTTTTCACATGATCATAAAATAGTGGCAAGCCACTGCAAGAACATCTTAAAAGTCGTAGACTAGATTATTTCTCATAATTTTCAAATCCCATAACCCCAAGAGCACTGGAGACCTCACACAGGGCCTTATGGAGAATTACTTCAGTTATAATCACTTTAGGCAGAAGTTACAGACTAAGCCTAGACTAACTTGTAACTATATTGGTGCTTTAAATGCATTGAAAGGTAAAGTAGCTAGGCTAAAGGCAAGGTATTCTGGTCTCCAAACTGTCTTGAGACAATCCTTCGTTTTTTACAGTAAATCACTGTAGAGTGAAAAGATTGAAACATACCATTGATTGTCCTTGATATAGCTAGTTTCTAATTATACGCCAGGCATTCATTTTAAGGAGAAACTCCAGCGTTTGAAATTACAAGATGACTGGTAGGGAACACGAAGGATAAAACTGAGGATTGAAAGGCTTTGGAAAACGTGGAATCCTTCAGAATAGTTTGTGTCATTGTTGCTGGGGTTTTTTGTTTGCTTGTTTGTTGGAATTCTGAACCTGCTTGCAGAGTAGCACATACTCCTATGAGCATGCAGTTACATAGCTGTGGGTTCTACACACATTTGATCTAATTAATAGCCAGAACATGATTGAAAATGTCTCGTATGACAACCTGGTTCTTACTGAAATGAAACAATACATTTTCTAATCTAAGTAAACAGTTATTAAAGATGCCCTCCTAAGCTGGCAAGATGGTTCAACGAACGGGTAAAGGAGCTTGTTGCCAAGCCTGATAACCTGAGTTTGATCCTTGGAACCCACATATTGTAGAGAGAGAACATCCTTCAAGCTCCTACAGATGGGCAAACATCCCACTGACCTCCACAGGTAACACAGTACATGTACATCCCCCACATACACAATGAACAGAGAAGTGTAAAAACATGTACAGATGTTCTGAGAACTTGTATTTTCTGAAAAGCTTCCTACTGAAGGAGGGAAAGAAACCTGTGGGGCTCACCAAGGGAACTAGTAACTTAATCATTAGCCCATATTGGCCATATGCCCTCATGCTTGGGATGCAACCTTTAAAACAAACCCTTGTACTAACTACTCTTTCCTATAATTTTCATACATGCTTTCCACTTAAGATTTTATCACTATGTCTCCTGGCCAAAGGGATAGATTCTCTAAAGGGAATGTAGGCCTGTGTCTGTTTTCCCATTTAAAAAAAAATGCCTGCCTTTTCTAAAAGCACACTGACTTTCGGCAAGGCAGTCTGGGTTGCAGCTCCTTCTCCCTCTCTGGAAAGTCCATCTCCATCACCCTCTCTGCTTCCTCTTCCTCTCCTGGTGTCTCACTGTCAGGACCCCTGAGAGCTCAGCCCTCGCCACTCCCTCTCTCAGAGTAATTCCATGGACTTTTATGTCTTCAATTTTACTTCTACAAGTTAGGGGCTAGCTCCTTTCTGGGCTGTGGACAGATACTCCTTGACTTACTATGGGGCTACATTCCAATCAACACAGCATAAGCAGAAAACCCACTTCTAACCTAACTTTCTGACCACATCTAGAACACTCACATTATCTTACAGATGGGCAAACTTCATCTAACAGAAACCCGTTTTATAACGAAGTACTGACTCTCCTGTGTCCTTTATTAAGTGCTGTGCCTCAAGGGAGAAACCATAGCTGTATGTGTATAGGAGACACAGTGAAGCCTGCTATAGACATGGGGGATGTAAAAACACAATAACCAACAATACTGGGAACACAGTACACTCTAGAGCACTGGCTGTTGTCCCTGGTGATCGTGCAGCTGCCTGGGAGCCATGGCTAGCCACCACGGCCCAGCATCTTATCGGACTGTATATCATTACTCCAAGAAACATTTACAATTCAGAATGTGGCGTTTGGCTCCCACTGAATACTAACAGTGAGTCTGTGTGTAAGCACTCACATGCCTCCTGCAGAACTCCACTTGGAGATCCCACAGGTACTCCCACGGTAAACTCAACTCATTCCAAGCCCTTCAAACTCACTTTTTCCCCATACTCCTCCTCAGCTGAGTGTATGGAGTTCATATCGGTCACTTAGGGAGGCTAGAAGCCTTCATTTTCGAACCCTTCCTTACTGCATCTCACGCGCCCTCACTGACACTGCCTGAGTGAACCACTTCTACCCTTTACAGAGACAGTGGATTCATTTCTAAGTAGTTTTATCTTGGCTCACCCTACATCCATCCACATCCTGAAAAAAAAAATCGACTTTTCTTAGGCTAATGTCCCAAACTCCAAAAACACATGGCCTAGCAGGGCCTTTAAGACCTGCCTATTTGGGTCTCTTTACTTCTGTGCCTACAAACTAATTTGTAGGCTTTTTTTTTTTTTTTTTTTTTGAGGTTCCCCAAAGACTGTACAACTGGAAAATACTCAGGCTTTCACTAACCCCTTCTGATGAAATCACATTCAGCAGTCTCCCACTACTCTCACCTTTTAACTGAGAATCTAACTAGTCCCTAGAAACATCGCATATATTGAAGTCAGGACTAGACAGCCTGACCACGGTATTTATTTCAATGTATTGTCCTCAGATGTTTTCAGCATTGGTCCTTCCTTCCGGACTCCCCATCACTGACTATGACCTTTCCTGGGAATGAGTGAACCTAGTTTGCCCACATAAGAGGTAACGCCTGTGGAAGACACCAAAGGAGTACTTTTGAATAAATGAGTAACAGCCTCGAAGAAAAGAACCAGAGGCAAAATGAACACTTTGACTCCCATCTGCAACAAAATATCTCAGTAAGTTACAACATCTGCTGTGATCCAGTTCCCCTTAACAGCTTTCTCTATTGAGTGATCGTTGCAAAACAGAGACTATAATCCTTCTGGCATGACCTATAGAGTCCTGAAAAATCTGCAGCCTGCCCACACCCCGTAATCTCATTTCCACCTTTCTCCCCTTTACTCTGCTTCGGCCACAGAGCTTTCCTTCCACACCTCTAAACAGCAAAGCTAATTCCAGTACCAAAGGTTTTGGGCTTCTGAATAACTCTACCTACAACGCTCTTCCCTCAGATCTTGGTTGGGCTAGCTTTTTGTCATTCAAGTCCCGCAAATGTCATCCTCTAGGAGACCTTTCCTACCAATCTAAAAGAGCCCATCACATCCTAGTCAAACAGGATTCCATTACTTTTTTTTTTCTAATCATTTTGCAGTTTCATCTTTTCTTGTTAAGATAAAAGCAAAAGATGGTTCACAAAGTCTCCCCAACAACTAGAGCAGTATCGAGCCCGTAAGCACTTGCTAAACGAATGAATGCACTTAAACATGCATCCATGTGGCCACTTCGAATCCCCCGCCCCTGCTCGTTTCATTCACAGGAAACCGCGAGGACCGCTATCCTCGCAGGAAAGCCCTTGAATCCTCATCGCGATCCCAAAGAGCGTGCTCTCTCTGGCAGGCTGGGCGAGGCGTCCGCAGCCTGGAAGCTAACCGGGTCTCAGAGACCGACAGATGCACCCAGGACCCGCCGCTCGCTTCCAAGAAGCGCTGCGGCGCGGAACGGAGCGGCGGCGAGTCAGGGCCCTCCTCGCTTGCCCTCGGCCCTGTCGCCTCGCCCGTCGCTCAACCTGCCGTTCACACGCCGCCCCCGCCGCCCAGCTCAACCTGGGCTCGGGGTTACCTGGCCGCCAGCCGGCCGGGCCGCGCCGCCATCACCCCGCCACTCGCGTCCACAGCTGCCCCCTCCGGGCCACCGTACTCCACGGCAGGCCTCGCCGGCCCCTCCCTCAGCGTGCGTAGAAGCCCTAGTCGTAGTACAGTGTCTCTTAGCAACCGCTTCGAGTCTCCAGGCCGGGGGGGGTGGAGCCTCGGAAACCCCCGCGGGGAAGCGGAGGGACGAAGCGAGAGCGACCAATCGGAGACGAGTTCCAGCCCCTCCCGGCCCGCCTCCTCTAACTGTCGCGAGTCCGCAGGCAGCTTTACGGCAGCCAGGGGGTGGGGGCCTCTGGGTGAGGAGAAGGAAGCAACCAACCAACCAAGTCGCCCCCACCCCCTACCCCCACCCCCACCCGCCGCGGATCTGGTTTACGGCTTGGAGCGCAGGCTCCAGTGCGGCCGCTGATTGGTCGCCGAAGGCTTGGTCCCATCCCAGTGACCCCAAAGTGCTGGAAGGAGGGGGCGGGGGTGGCCCAGTGCAAAGTGCATCCCGAAAGCCCCCTGTCGGGACACCCCGCTGCTGACACTTCGGACCCGGTACGATTTGGGGTCTCCCTGTCCCCAGACCTCTGGAGTCCCTCGGTAGCTGGAAGCCTCCGGCCCGGCGCGCGGCAGACCCCTGGTCTGAGCCCCTGGACCGGGACTGCCCCCCCCCCACCCCCAACCCGAGCCGGCACTTCCTCCCTGCACCCCTTCCCGGAGGCTGCTCCGAGGCCAAGACCGCCACCTCCAGCCTGATCGGCTATCTGGATGCTCTCTGGGCTGGGGCCGTGAAGCACCGAGGAGGATCAGGAACACGGGTGTCCGGCCCTGCCTGGGCTGTTTCTTCAATGGAGAAGTTGGTGAATGTGGAGGAGGCTGAAAGGAGGGAGAGGAGCTGCAGTTGAGGAGACAGGTAAAGTCAATTACCTCCTCCCCTGAGGGGAAGGGGCTGGCTGGGTGTGGGAGGAAGGAGAAACCCTGCTTTCGCCTGCCTGCCCTTGCCACTCGCCAGCCTTTCTTAGCTTCCCCCCATCCTCAGAGCCCTCTCCTCGCCCCTGGATCACTGCACCACTCATTGGTTTCTGTTTTCCAGGTTTGAGCTGGCTGGAGGACACTCGCGAGCAGAAGGGGTCTGCCCACCCACCAGAGAAGCAGCTGGGAGAGTGCTTTGGATCAGCATCCTCTCTAAAGGTAAAGACCAGACCTCCCCTCCCCCATTGTTTATTCCTGGCCCCTACCTCATTAAGCAATGCTTTATTTTCAGGGTGGTTGCCTGGGAATGCAAGCTTTCCTGGACCTTAGTTTCCTAGCAAAAAGAGAAACACTGCCCTTGCCTGATCCTTAACACCTCAATAACTTCTCTACCCCAGAAGCATCTTCTGGTTCCCTTTCAGAATGTTTCCGTGTTTCGCATTATCTTTTGGTACACCGTGTCATTTACTCTGCTCTGAGGCTTTGAGACCTTTTTGTAGCTCCCTGCCTTCCTTATTCTCCTAGGAATTCCTCAATTCCATGTTAATTGCTTGTTAATTCTGAATGATGCTGCTTTTAATTAAACTACAATTTACTGTTTTCCCCATGTACAGTTTTCTCTCTGCCTCCATCAGGAAAGCTGTAGAGTTACCTCACTGAGAATGCTTAGTGGCAGAAGGTGAACTGTAAGACTGAAACTTAGGGGTTTTTAAGAGAATAGTTTGATTTGGTTTTCCTGGAAAAAGTGAACGTGTGTAGCTTAAGAATGGGAACTGTGGCCGGGCGGTGGTGGCGCACGCCTTTAATCCCAGCACTCGGGAGGCAGAGCCAGGTGGATCTCTGTGAGTTCGAGGCCAGCCTGGTCTCCAAAGCGAGTTCCAGGAAAGGCGCAAAGCTACACAGAGAAACCCTGTCTCGAAAAACCAAAAAAAAAAAAACACACACACACACACAAAAAGAATGGGAACTGTATAAAAGCAATATTAGCCCCTGAAACAAAGTATATAGTTTACTCTTTGGTTTTTTGTGTGTGACAAAATGGATGGACACTAGAGTTGTTATAAAGTGATACATAATATTTGTTACATCTCTGGGGTTCTAGGTGAACTTACAAAATTTTACATTGTATCTCCTTGACAATAGCGGCACAGTCAGGAATTTTAAAACAAAGTAGTCTTTTGGTGTGTTTAGCTATCTGGGGCTTAGTTTTGGCAGTGGTCACTCTTGTTTTCTCGTTTTAAAATCCTTACAGAGAGTTTGCTAGATTGAAATGTAAGCACCTAGTTCATGTGGTCAGATTTCTGCTGCCTCCGAAAATGCCCTAAAGGTAAGTTTAGACTAGTGTCAAAAGAGAATATCTACAAACCAACATAGAGAGAGCAATATACAAAGGACAGCACAGAGATTGCCAAATGAATAACTCATGATCACAACTAAAAAGCGTCTCATTTATTTTAGTAACTCAAATGTTTTTGGAACTTTAAGTAAAAAGAAGTATTTAAAATGGTAGACTTTTTACTCAGTCCCTTTACATTTCCTGTCTTGCACACATACAAAAAATAATGCCTTTTCAGTCTACTGATCCTTAAGACATAAAGTAATTTTAAGGAACTCTGAGGGCTTGGATATTTTTAGGACTTGAAATTAGATGCCAAAGAAAGAATGAAATTTGAAAGTAGTGTGTATTAGCTCCATGTGATGGGGCCCTCTCTGTAATTACTATACTTATTTTATTTGTTTGCTTTTTGAAACAGGGTTTCTCTGTGTAGCCCTGGCTATCTTGGAACTCACTCTGTAGACCAGGCTGGCCCCGAACTCAGAGATCTATCTGCCTGCCTCTACCTCCTGAGTGCTGGGATTAAAGGCGTGCACCACCACTGCCTGGCTGTAATTGCTGTTCTTTCATGGCTGAGGCAGGAGGATGGAAAATTTAAAGACAACCTGGGCTGGCTGCAGAACGAGACACAGTTTGAAAGGACCGAGCGAAAGAAAGAGAAAACAAAAAACAAGAAACAAGAAAACTAATATTCATCAGTGACAGTACTATGGAGAAAATTTAGGGTAGCATTCATATACACATATATGAGAATTAAGGAAAGGTCTCTCAAGTTAAAGGGTAGTTGATATTTAAATACAGAACTCAAGACTGAAGAGGTTCCATAGTTAAATATGGAACTCAGTAGTATGATGCCTTCTGAGTACTTTATATCTTTCTTAAAAATGATAATAAAATATTTGAAGTATGTTTCAAAGATAAAATGTAGTATATATTTTGTAGTCTAGCCTCCTTGGTGGGGGTGGGGGTGGGATATTTTTAGAGTTAACCTTAGGATGTATTTGCTAGGGTTCCTAAGTGAGGGATATGTTTACCTGAGATTATAAATGAGAAGCACTAGTCACACTTGTAAAGATGGACATTCCTCTATCCAGCCAGGCCATTATTGCTGCTTAAATAATAGTACATGCATCTGCTCAGCTGGCAATGGTTTTCCTAAGATTAAGGGATAAATATGCACACACACACACACACACACACACACACACACACACACACACACGCACGGGGGGGGGGGGGTTGTAATAATTAGCATGGTTGAGAATGTTTGTTCTAGTGTATATCAAACATTTAAATTTATTTAATTTGGACATTTACTTAACAGCATAGCCAGCTAGACGGTGTATATTTCTCTGTCTGGCGGTCAATTTGGTATTAATTTTATTATGAGTGACATGGGGGTGTTAATCTGATTATTTGGTAACCTAATACAGCTTTATATCACAAAAGGAGAATAATTGATGCTACTCAAGTGCTGCATCTTTAGTATGTTATGACCACTTCTATCTTTTATCCCTAAAATGATGTCATTCACAATTAATTCTATTAGATTATATATGTACATTATATATAAAGTAAATATATAATGTCTTGTTCACGTGTGTGTATATAGTCTTTAGTTTGTTCACATTTAGTGTGTGGGTAGTCTTTATTCACATTCAGCCTTAGTGATTATGTTCTTAGAATGGGTAAGTAAAGTCAGATATAGTCGGTATATGTGAAACCTGGCCTTCAGGCTTTCATTCTCATGTGAATGCCCTCCCACAGTGTAATGCCTGGCAGACTTCTGGGACACTGACCCGGGGCTGCTAAGTTGGATTGGCATACCTGCACTAATAGGACGGATTGACACAGCATCTCTAATACCTGTGGTATAAGCTTTGAGTCGGGTCTGGATGAATGATTCTAAACGTTTCTGTCACTTCATCTGCATTTTGTGAAAACCAGTGGGTGTTCTCGTAGAATTTGTGTGAGTCCTAGGTAAGCTGTACATGATAATAAATCTTGGTGTCACATGGAGGTCCAGTCATTTGGAGGAAATCCGATATCCTTCTTTAGGGACATAAACACTATGGTATGTGGAGTGATACGAAAATGACACGTGCTTTATTTTGGGCATCAGGCCCTTGATTGTGTAAGTGGAGCTCGGCAGCCTGTCTGTTGGCCATGTTGTGTACTTTGGTGGGACAGAGTATATTTCTGTCACTGCTTCCCTCTGGGATCTGGTGAGCCATTGGTGGATTTTTAGTTTTTGTCCTCAAAACCAGTATCTTTGAAGTTGCTGGTTTTCTTTCCATATCTTGGTTTACTCTGCAAAGAAACACACTTGTCCTTTCTTGATTCAGGAACTGTTACCTTATTTCTTATTGGTTTGAGACCCGGAAACTGAGTTTCCACTTGTATCACTTCATGAAAAGTTGCAGAAGCAGGCAGCAGGCCTGCAGGCCTTCACTTGGGAGGCTGAGGCAGGAGGATCCCAGCTTTCCAGCCAGCTTGCACTACATGGGCGGCCTGGTATCTCAACCCAACAAAACAAAAAACATGGAAGAAAAGAATACTCAGAAGTCATTAATATCTAGTCTTGTGCCAAAGGAAATTATAGAGACATCAGATTTGTTGAAGGCTATGTATTCTTGGGCAAATTTCAAATATCCCTTGATTTGTGAGTATATTCTAATTCAGTCTGTTATCTCAGTATAGATTTTCTTTTAACTATGTGAGGACATTTTGATCTTAGCTGAATGGATTTCACTTGTCCACTTGTAAAGAAATTAGGCAGTAAAAATTTGTAGTCTTCAATGTGGTCAACTGTATAAAAGCTTAGAGACCTAGGTTGTTATCTTTTGACTTTCTTACAGTAGAAAGGATGATTTAGCAAAATGTAAACATAGAATTAACATTAAGCAGTAAAACTACTTTAAAAAATGATGCTTATTGGGAAAATGATTCATTTTGACACTCCCAAAGTCTTCCATATTTATTTATTATTTACTTTTTTTTTTTCTGAGACCCAGAATGTACTTTCTAGAGGTGAGTTTGGTATCAGTAGTTGCTGGAGTCTACAGCCATCATTAATTTAAGAGAACCTCCCATTGAATATGTATCATTTAGAAAATTACTCCTTTGTCATGAGTCCTGTTTTATAGGTGATTTCTGTGAGCCATGAGAATTTTGAACTGGTGTTCCCTGTAGAAAGCTAGGCTTTTCCCACCTGTGGCTTCTCTTGACAACTTTTTTTATAGGCACTTTTGCTGCTGAAGTTGTATTTGTTCTTAAGGTCCATGGTGCTTTTTCCTCTCTATTTATATATACCTGAGTGCCCATAAAGTAACACCAAGAGAATATTAATTACTAGTTGGATACCTCAGCCTTTGGAGCTGCTTTGATAATAAATCATTGCTCTTTATAATTCACAATGGTGCAAACAACAGAGATCACATGTACATGGTACACCATGTGTGTGTTCTCCCCTGTGATGCAGCACATGTATGTAAGGAGTGACTTTTCAGTTTAAAATCTGTGGTTATTTATAGTCCTTGGTATTATCAGAAAAAAAAATCCTAAAATATCTAATATTTTTAAAACTTATTTTAAGGGATTCTTAGAGAAATGGCTCATTATTTAAGAATTCTTCTCTTACACAGAACCCAGGTTCAGTTCCCAACAACCACAGAGTTATTCACAACTGCTTGTAACTCCGGTTCCAGGGTATCTGAAGCCTTCTTCTGGTCTCCTCAAGCACCAGGCATGCATGTGGTGCACATACCTACATACATGCAGACACACACATACACACACACACACACACACACACACACACACACACAACTTAAAAATCTTTTTAAAACGTCATTTTAAATGTACAGGACTATCAATTTTAGGAAGTCTTGAGCTGTGCTGAGCACACATCAGGCACTTGCTAGCCATCTATTTGTTCCATTAAAGTCACTTACAGGGAATTGTACATTTTTATCTTTCTTGCAGGGAGAAATAATTTGATCCCTTTATCTTTTAACACCCAGCCTTTCCGTGATATTATGAATAGATACGATTTCATGCTTTCTTCCATACCTACCTCCCATGTTTCCTCTCTGTCATACCCAACTGTCTCTGTGAAAGTGGTGATGGGCATTTGGAGGCCAGTGAGAATCTGCAAGGACTCGTAAAGGCTTGAAGCATGTTGGGACATTTTTGTGTCTCTAGGGAGACAGAATACTGAAGATATACTTGGAAATAGGGTGTTTGATAACATTTATCCTTTTTGGTTTTCATTTTTAGAAATTAAGTTTGTTCTTTGGCAGTTTCATACCTGTATATATTGCCTTCTGTCTGCTCTCCCTGCCCACCTCTCCTGTCCCTCCCACCTCCTTGCCTGCCGGTTTTGTCCTCCACCTTGATTTTAACCAGGATTATCTGTGTGACCTCAGCCATGGTTGTAACAATCCACTGGACCCTGGTGGCTTAGTGCTGGGTAAGCTTCTTGACATGTAGATGCCATCAGAGTGAAAGGTAATCAGTGGTCTCTGCTTGTTGAGAGCCCTGATCCTGGGGTGGCTTTCCTGTGGCTTTCTTTGAGCACTTCATTGCCTTCAGGCACTGTAAGATGCTCCAGGCTCACCCTGGAGACTTCCTGCCTCAGTCTTCGTCCATTTCTGCAAGGCTTGTTCTGTGGTATTTATACTTTGCTTTGAAGGAGTTGTTCTGACCATGTCTACTTCATTTATTTGGAAATAATAGGCACAGGTTGCACTCAGATTTTAGTTCCGTGTGCATGAAACATTTATCTGTCCTGAAAGACTTCAGGCAAGGACAAATAAAACATGAAGAGAACAAAAACAACCGCCACTCTCCCCTCACATGTCAGGTTGGCAGATGGCCTGTCCCTCTCCTTGTCTGAAAGTTTAAGTGATAAAGGCTCAGCAGTACCCCCCCACACACACCAGAAGGGGTGGCAGGTCTCCCAATAGGCTAATTCCTAGAGTGGTCTCCTTGCGATGTTGTGGGGAGTCTGATGTCCTTAACCTGAATGGAATGCACAGAACTGGGATTCAGTGGGAAAAGAGAAAGAGTCTTTTAATTATGTAGAGAGAAAGAGGTTGGGTTTTTATTGTTTTGTTTTTTTAAAAGAATTCATATGAAGAAGCTAGCAAAAACCCTGGCTAGTTAAATGTTTTAAGTAGCTTGTTGTATGCACGTAAATGTTATTGACTGGATGCCTTTAAGGCCTGTGAAGAGCCACCATTCAAAGGCATAATCTCCTTTTACTTATCATGGTTTACATTTGGCCCTGGGCAGCTGCTGTATTGAATGCACACATTTTTCCTTTTAGTCCTGTTTAAAAAGAGCAGGTGACTGATGGTGTCCTTAAAAAGTAATTGAAAAGAAGCAGGCCTGAAGATACATTCTCAGTAGAAAAGATAAGACCCTCAGCTTGTATCCAGATTCCAAATGTGTGATTTGTTATTTTCCTTATTTACTCTTTTTCAAGCAGCTGGGGGGTCGGGGGAGAAGGGGACAGAATGCCAAAAATAAATCATACTTGATTGCTTCTTGGAGATTGTTGTAAGCAGCAAGATCATTTTCTCCCAAACCTTCTCTGAGTTCTGTTGACTTGTTATAAACTCCTGAAACAAAGTCGTCAAAAAGTAGAATGTACAGGTAGCTGTGGTTCTTCACTAGTTTAGGAAACTCCCCGTGATTGTTATTTGATTTGTCTTTAGGTGAAGAATTGCTCTGAGGCCTGGACACACTGGGAACCCCTTCCCCACGATGCTGCTTGTACACGATGGTCATTAGACAACCTGTGTTCCTAGAGAAGAGTCATTCTTCTGTAAGGTGAGGTGACTCAGGGCCAGCAGTCTCCTATACTGTTTTGAGGAGAACACCATCTAACTGTTACTTTCCCCCTTGAACACTGCTAGTGGGTTGGTTGAGGCTGCAGCTTCAGTGATAGAGTATGTACTTAGAGGCTTACGGCTCTAGGGTCAGGCTCTAGCATGAATAGAATAGAGTTGAGCAGAAATGAACGAGTAAAATTGTGACTTAAAGAATAAACTAATGTATCCACAGTGCAGCAGACACGGAAAGAAAAACCTCAGTTTATTTGTTTCAGTCTTTTTCCTACATAGCAGACCTCTTTCAAGTGCCAAGATAATCTCCTATTTAAAAACGCTCTTTGGGAGCTGGGGAAAGGGCTTAGTGGGTAAAGTGCTTAAGTACAAGAGTGAAGACCAAAGTGTGGATCCCCATTTACTCACGTAAAAGCCGAGCATGGAAATGCACACTTGTAACCCCAGCACCAGAGTGCAGAGACAAGGAGGATCATGGCGGCTACATAGCCAGCCAGGCTAGCAGAAATGGTGGGGTCAAGGTTCGGTGGTGGACCCTGTCTCAAAAAATAAGGTGGAGAACTGTAGAGAAGACACCCTAAGTGTGTGCGTATGAACATGTACCACACACATGTACCCACAGAACTCACTCAGAGCCAATGTGGTGGCACACACCTGCAATCTCAACACTCAGGAGGATCAAGAGCTCAGGGCTAGCCTAGGCTACAAGTTGGGAGGACAACCTGAGCTCAATGAGACTGACTCAAAAACAATAGTAAAGTAAAAACAATTTCAAAAGCATTCTGTTAAAGATGATGGTCTGAGTAGACAGTAAGAGCTTCCATTAACCTATTCTGATGAATTTCGGTATTGTCTCTTATAGCACTGAAACTAATATGAAATCTATTCTGAAAGGTATTTTTTTATGTTAAATTTCTAAGCCAAGAGACTGAATTTCAAGGAAGTAATTAAGTGAAGAAAAAAAGGAAACTTCCTTATTAAGAGAACAAATTATCAAGAAATTTCCCATTTCCCAATTTTCTCTGAGGAAACAGCTATTTGAGGTAATAGCTTGATATTTTTAAATTACGTCACTTAGTGATATTGCTGAGACTGTAATGATGTCACTTTTATGTGTAAAAGCACATCAGATGTTTGTGTTCTTAACCTGTGTTGGTTCTACCAAACTAGGTTACTTTACCTGTGTATAGTCTGTGATGAGAAATTTTACAAGAGAAACTATCAGTAGCAAAATTATCCTGAGATGTCTAACCTACATATGAGAACAGAATATTTTCAAAGGGCTTTATCACATGTTTTTTTCATCCAAGCAAATTTACTTAGAGAAATGGACGTTAGTAACCAGGAGGTTAGGCTAATTGCTTCTTTCAAATCAGCCCAGTTGGAATGTCTTCCCAGGAGCTTGTCAGTCTAGGTGTCTGTGTGGTATTCCGATGGTTGGAAGCACACAGACAGGCCTGTACCCCCACATGAGAAGTAACATGTCTACCCTGTGTGCATGGGTGAGCTCTGCAGAGGCTGTGGGACCCTCAGCGCTAATGTTCACTCCAGTCATTTTATCTTGTAGTTAACCAACAGACCATTTATCTTTGAGTGTTTATAAAGTAAAACTTCTGGTACAGAAATTAGAAAAAATGTTTCAGAAGAATGTGACAGCAAAAGAGGAGACAGAGCATCATGTTCAAAGAGCCTGAGATGGGAAAACCAAGAAAAAGAGACGCACACGCGTGCATACGTATACACACATACATATGAGCGTGTACGTAAATCTAATCTATTTTACTCTAGCTTAGTTCGCTCAGCCTGCTTCCCCCAAGCTTTGTTAACTGCATTAACAATAAGATACCGTTGGACTACTTCAGACACTCAGCCTACAGGTGGCCTTTCTTTTTCCTCATCATGGGCTTTAGTCTTCATAAATTATGGGCTGTTTTCTCTGACGTGTGATAGAATCTGAGTAGTTTGTGACTTAAATCTGGATGGTGCATCATAGAAATCAGACTTTCCAAGACCAATACCACTCTGGCCCCTCTGGTCCTGCCGTCTTAATTTTTGGATGCCACCTCTCATTTTGCCTCACATAGAGCCATGATGGTCAAATGCAGTTTCAAGTTTTCAAAAGGATGCAGAAGAGATTTTTTCTGTTAATTCAGGGATTTCTGTCTGGCTTTCTCTTTTAATTAATTTGTGACCTTAATGCAACTATTGAAAGTTTTGGTCTGAGGAGATGCATATTAGCCAGTAGTATGGAACTGCCGTTAATTACTGTACTGATTTAGGAAGTGAACAGTTCTGTGGTGGTCAGTGGGCACAGTGTGAAGAGTCACATATTCTAAATGTCACCTGTTCTACCTTCCCCGAAAGGCTGACTCCTTTGACCTAATGACTGGTTGGTGAAAAGTGGACTCTGCTAGGATGTTACACCACCACTGTCGGAGGAACCCTGAGCTCCAGGAAGAATTGCAGATTCAGGCTGCAGTAGCCGCCGGGGATGTTCACACAGTACGGAAGATGTTGGAGCAAGGCTATTCCCCAAACGGCCGGGATGCCAACGGCTGGACCTTGCTCCATTTCTCTGCAGCAAGAGGAAAGGAGAGATGTGTTCGGGTGTTTCTAGAACATGGAGGTGAGTTTACTAGTTGCAAGGAGAAACTTGCGATGGTGTTGACAGTATCACTCGTGCATGCTTACAAGCGGTTTTTAAGGCTTCACTTGCATTAATGTTCAGTATCTTGTTTTTCCTCTTTGCAAAGATTTTTGTGAACTAAACACTGAGTTTTGTTTCAAACCAGGTTACTGAGTGGGCTTCCCCCTGGTGTGTGTGATTTCTACAGGGAGGCAAGCTATCCCAGGTTTTCAACTCAGAGCCTTTATTGGAGTGGTAGCCACGTGGGTTTCAGAAGCAGAAGTGGCTTCTACTACTGGGAGTTGCCCAGGTTCCCCCTTGTGGAAATTGCTCAAGCAGAGGAACCTAGCACGGGTCCTGTTAAACATCTCAGCCTCCCCGTGCCTTAGACTGTGAATGTACCTCCCTTTCCTCTTGTTCCCTTGGAGCTCTTGCCTTTTCCAGAACTTACAGGGGGTTAGGGACACCAGAAGACGGCTGCTTTTCTGAGGGCTTTTGTAGACACACATAGTCAGTGACTGCATTTGCCATGATAGGTCTGCTTCAGAAAACTGGCCGTTTCTATGAGGCTTGGAAACCAATCCCCTCACTTGACTCTCTCCAGTGAATTTCAACTTCATTCTTACCCTGACGCTAGGAGGCAGAAGGGTGTGTGTCCGTTTATAGATATCATTTGTGTCTACACTGTCTATATATTAGGGTGTAAGACAGCTTGTCTGGGCTCTTCCAGGCCACCAGCAGTGCTTTGTTTCCTTCCAAGAGTATACTATGGGATGGGTACTAGTTAAAAGACTGGCCAGGCTTGTTTGCCTTCTGAAGTACAGAAAAGGTTACAAGTTCCACAGCCCTCACTCAGGCCATATGAATTAGTGACTGTACAAGTGCTAAGGCTGCGAGCCTAGACTGACTCCAGGGAAGGCTAAATCCAAGTCACGGAGTAATCTTGTGTCCCAGTGGTCCGCAATAGGAATTATATGCCCCAGCTCATCGACTGTGGACAGAGTCCAGAAGCTCACGGGCCTGTGCCCACTCATGGCCATCTTCCATGTCATTCCACCTTCTAATTTACAGAATCAGTTCTGCAGTCAATGAAGGGGGGTGTAAGTGGAATGCCTGGACAAAGAGGATCAGAACGAATTCTGCCCGTACTTGGTAAAATTAAGACTAAGATCATAACTCATATTTGCTTATTTTACCTAGTCCTGTGCCTTCCAGCTCTGTCATGTTTACTTAATACAGAATAAGTTCAGATAGTCAATTAATGCATGGATACTCTTTCCTTAAAACAAAGTGCATCCTCAGACACACTACACACAGGAGCCAAACCCTGCTTGACCTGCCCAGCTCCTGCCTGCCACTACTCAGAAGTGTCCCTGGCATGAGTGACTCTGGGTGCTTAGCCCTCTAGCTACTTCTTAACACACTTGTAGAAATTGTGGTTCATGTAGTTTTTAAACTAAACAGCATACTGACTTAGTGCCCCGCGACAGTTGTTTTTTACTTAACTTCATGGAACATTTTTCTTTCTTAACTCTCTGAGGTCTGCTGTTGTAATGTGTGGATGTGATATGACATGGAAAACATGTCATAGCTGTGGCTGTGCTCCAACTGGACTTTTTCTTTAAGTCAATGAGTAATGAGGGTTAAAAGGAAAAGCTAATGATGAGTCGGATTTAACTTGTGGGCTGCAGCTCCTAAACATCTCTCTCTCCTCCACCTCTCGGATGACAATTTACAGGGCCGAGGGTGGCTATGTGGTGGAGTGTGTATCTAGTATATCCGAAGCCTAGAGTTCAAGTCTTAACACTGCACAAAAAGAAAAGTATGTATGTGCATATGCATGTGTGTGTGTTTGAGTGTGAGTGTGTGTTTGTGTGTGTATGACAAACTGCAGTTCATGAACTCACACTGCACAGTGTATTGCAATTTAGTGCATTTGTAGAGTTGGATGTCCAGCACCACAATTAATTTCTAAAGTAATTGTTCCTACTACAGTGATTCTGTTAGTAATACATTCAGGCTTACCCTGCTGTCTTCAGTATAGTATTCATTCGTATAAATATACTACCATTGGGTTATACTCTCAACTTTGTTCCTTTTAGTTTGTTTAGAAAGCATGACATTTTCTCAGCAGACTTTGAGAAGATAGTACATAGTACACCTGTTTAAAACCCAGATTACGCCGGGCGGTGGTGGCGCACGCCTTTAATCCCAGCACTCGGGAGGCAGAGCCAGGAGGATCTCTGTGAGTTCAAGGCCAGCCTGGACTACCAAGTGAGTTCCAGGAAAGGCGCAAAGCTACACAGAGAAACCCTGTCTCGAAAAACCAAAAAACAAACAAACAAACAAAAAAAAAACCCAGATTAGTGTTCTCTGGACTGTGCAGGGAGGTGGCCACTAACTGCTCTTGACTACCAGACTCCCCTCCGAAGCCATGGCCTTCACTGGCTTCTGCTGCCGCTGAAGAAATAGCCTGTGCACCGAGCCCAGCGGCTCCCAGCCTCTTCCTTCTAGCCCGCTTCTCTTTTTAATGCTGTCTTGACTATCTTGACTTTTGTCACAGAACAGCTTTGTCATGGTGGTTCCCTGTCAGTGCCCAGTTCAGCCTCAGATTCCACTGTTTGGATATGATTGATTGACACTTAACTCCAGTTGTGGGACATTTGAGATGGTTTGAATTTTTCTGCTAGGGCCAGTATTGCAGGAAACATCCTTGACTTTTTTTTTTTTTTTAAACCTTTGTCAGAGTTTTTTATTCTTAATTCCTAGAAGTACTTGCCAAGTCAAACAGTATTTTATGAATGCTGACACATTGTCCTCCAAAGAGCCTGCAGTTGCCTATGCCCTCCCTGCCTGGGTGTGACAGTGGCCAGTCTCCACTTTGCCCAGCAGCATATTGCCAGATGGCTGGCTCTTCCTTGTGTGACATGCTTGCCCCCTCCCAAGATGGCATACGAGTATCAAACTGACAAGACTGAGCTCGTTCGGCTCATCCTCACTTTTGGCTTGTTCAGGTGCCCTCCTTTGTCAGTTCCAGGTGGAAACCTTCTCCCAGCTTGAGTGATTCCACGTTCCTGTTGCCCTCACTATAAACTGGACACATTCTGTTTTGCCTTTGCGTGGCTTGAGTCTCTTGGTTCCTGGTTAGTAAATACTTCACCCTGCAGGGTCATTATTGCCCTGCATTTTCTTCTCAAGATTTTGTGGCACTTGGATCCCCAGTCTGCCCAGAATTGGCATTCGTGCATGAGAAGAGACTTGTTGGTGTAGTATCACTGCTCTCCCCCACAAAGGTTGCCTAAACTTCCCTTCTTTCCTCATGACTACACACTGCTGGGTCCCATACAGAGGTTTAACATTTGTGCTTCTACTTCTGAGTTCTTATTTGGTGCTCAGGACCAGGGTGATGCTGTTTGTATTGTTTTATGAGAACATTGCTACAGTCAAAAGAGATTTGGAGAATGCACCCCCTCACCCCCCTCACTGCAAATTATAAACAAGTTTGAAAAGTTTAGTTAAGAAGGAAACTCATAACCCCCCACCCCTGACCCCCTTGGCCATGGTCATGCAGGAGGCTTCGATACACATGCACATCCTCCATGTAATGCCCCAGCACATCTGTAAATGGCCCTTCAGCCTAGGAGTGCCGTGCAGGAAGGCTGCAGACTGTGGCAGGTACCTTTGTCCTCACCTGTGATGTGATCAGTTGCTTGATCTTCTGAATTTTTCCTCTCTGATTAACTGTCTCTTTTCTTCACTTCTTTTCATGAAGCCACTGTGCCACCCCTCGGCAGGGAAACCTCTTTCCTCATCAGGACTGTGGATCGATTTCCTTCACCTCCACATTATATTGCCCTGTCCCAACCCAGTCTCCAAATAATGAGACACTTCTAAGTAGAAGTGGAAATTAAATGCAGTTTAGGGGCTTCTTATCTGCACAAAATCTTCTCAGTCCGTCATGTGCTCAGCACAGCAGCAGATCCTCTGAACGCTGCAGCTGCAGCTCTGTGCAGCAGCCCCTCCACCTTCTGGGGGTCTCTGAGCTCGGAGGCGTAGTCACAGAGTCATTACAAAGCTCCCCCACCATTGTCTCCTTTCCTTTGCATGTACCCGCTTCCCTTTTAAGTCTAACGAGCACTTCTCAGGGCTACCACCTCCTTCCAGTAGACTAGGTTAGGTGAGAACTTCATTTTTGCCCGTTCCATGCTGCCGCTGGGCCCTGGATGATGCTCTCTCTCTCTCCGTGGGATACTGTCCCCTGGACGTTGTTGCTGCCCCAGTCGTAAGCATGCTGAAGGGCTTTAACTTCCTGTTCAATGTCTGTAGCTTTAGTTCACCTGAAGGTGCCTGAAGGCGGAACCACAGACATGTGTGTTCCCCATGAGAAAGAGAGCAGACATCGGTAATCCAAAATGATTGGTTCCTAACCTTGTGAGGGAAAACTGATCTTGAAAAAAAGTTTAAAAAGATGGGACCATCATTGGGTCAGGGTCAGAAGCTGCCTAAAGTCATGACAGCTGTTCTTCCAGAATCATCAGATAGAGGAGTGAGGGGAAGGACTTGGAAGGAGCAAGGCAGTCCACTTGGCCCTCTGCACTCCTTCCCGCTCTGCACGCCACTCCCTTCTCTGCTGACTCTGGGGGAGGGACAGAGCTCTGAGGTAGATGAGGTGGCCGTTTGGCTCCTGAGAAAGCACTCACTCATATTCAGAAAATGCTGCTGAGCACCTAGCCTATGCAGGCCCTGCTTTGGGCACAGCTGCAGTGTTAACTGTCTGGTGTTTCCCAGCCCAGCAGCTGGATGGGTTGGTAGCAATGTTCCCTGGTGACTGAGGATGTACTTCAAGTTCCTAAGAGGGTGATGCTTTTAGCTTCCCCATTGGAAAATAAGGCACAGAAGCAAAAGCAATTCAGATACCCCAGTCTTCTACCTTGATGACAGTGGAGCTAGACTCCCAACCATTGTCTACACGGGTTCTGGATTGCCTAGAAAAGAAGCGA